CTCGCCCACAGCTAACCGCCGCGGAGCTTCATCGTCGTCGGCATCCTCGTCTCGTACCTCCCGCAGCACTACAAGATCATACAGCGACGCTCCTCGCGCGGGCTGAGTCCGCTGTTTGTCCTGCTCGGCACCGTCTCGGGCACGGCGAGCATGGCCAACATCCTCACCCTGCCCGAGAGCACCGCCGACATGGCCTGCTGCAAGGACATTGGGCGCTTCCCCTGCGCCGCCGCCCTGCTCGGCATGGCCCAGATTGGCGTGCAGTGGTCGTGCTTCTTCTTCATGTGCGCATCCCTCCCCACCCCTCCCACCCCTCCCACATGCGCCGTGCAGACTGACGCCGCCCAGCATGCTGCTCTTCCTGATCTTCTTCCCGCGCCCCGCCATCCCCGGCATCGACCACGACGCCGACGCCGCCGCCGACGCCGACATGCCCACCTGGAAAGAGGCCGTGCTCGTGCTCGCCGTGTCCCTCGCCTTCTTCGTCGTCGCCTTGGTCGGCTCCGTCGTCTTCGTCTACGCCCTGCCCGACCACGTCCGCGCCTGGGCCAACTTGCTCGGCCTCCTGGCCACCGGCCTCGCTGCCGTACAGTACATCCCGCAGATCATGACCACCTGGCGCCTGCAGGAACCGGGCAGCCTGTCGGTGCTGATGATGTGCATCCAGACGCCCGGCAGCTTTGTCTTCGCTGCGAGCCTGTACGCCCGCCTGGGCCGGCGAGGCTGGAGCGCATGGGGTCTGTTCATATTCACGGGCTGTCTGCAGGGCTGCTTGCTGGCTATGAGTCTGTCGTTTCTGTGGAGGGACAGGAAGGAGCAGAAGAGGCTGGACGACGAAGCCGCGGCGAATCGCAGCAGTGAGCGGACGCCGCTGTTGGTGGCCGAGGACGTCAACTAGCTGTTACTGCTGGGCCTGTTGCCCCAACTAGACTTGTTACTACCAGACCTGTTACTACCAGACCTGTTACTACCAGACCTGTTACTACCAGACCTGTTACTACCAGACCTGTTACCACCAGACCTGTTACTACCAGACCTGTTACTACCAAACCTGTTACTACCAGACCTGTTACTACCAAACCTGTTACTACCTATTTCCGCTCCTGTTGCTGTTCTCAATCTTCGCACCGAGCCCCGTCGACTCGCGCACGAGCCCGTGCAACTGTGTAACTGTGCAACTCTGTAACTCTGTAACTGTGTAACTGGGTAACTGTGTAACTGGGTAACTGGGTAACCCGAGCCCACGTGCGTCCCGTTCGAGTCTGCAGGAACGTGCAACGACCACCGCCCGATAATTGCCGTGTTTCTCTACTTGCGTGCTACGAAGCATTGCAGAGCTGCTCGACTGCACAACGACGCCTCTGCCACGACATGCTGCAGCAGTCGAGCAGCCACACTCGCAGCAACAGTCAAGCAGCCACACTCGCAGCAACAGTCAAGCAGCCACACTTGCAGCAACAGTCAAGCAGCCACACTTGCAGCAACAGTCAAGCAGCCACACTTGCAGCAACAGTCAAGCAGCCACACTCGCAGCAACATGTCAAACGACATTCTGTCATCCGCCAATTGGCCCGACGACGACGACAAGGGCGCGTCGACGACGACAAGGGCGCATCGACGACGACAAGGGCGCTGACTTACCGGTAGTCACGCTAAGCAGTTTCCCGCCTGGAGCTACCGCGCTCGGTCATGAGCGCGCCTTTGACATTGGACCTCAGTCTAGTCTCCACCCAAGATTCAAATAGACCCTGTTCCGCCTGCCAATTACCCAAACTGACTTTCCTTGATTGCTCTCCACGCCGCCTCGATTGACCTCGAGAGGTGGAAGGCGAGTCTGCGTCTTTTGACGAGTCTGCGTGTTTGACAAGTCTGCGTGTTTGACAGGTCTGCGTGTTTGACGAGTCAAGTCTGAGAGAAACAATGGCCCCACCCTCGTCATCCCAGGCCGGTCAGAGCACCGGCAACGAATTTGCAAGCGACGTCGCCGCCCAGATGGACGGCTTCGCGCACGCCACCGACATCGCCGAGGAGGCGATTGCGCGGGATCTCGAAGACGACACCTCCGACTATGATCCCGACGACACGGATGGCGACGATGAATCCTCCTCCGGCTCGTCGACCATTCGCCAGTACTCCATGATCAATTCTTACCGCAGGCCCTCGTACGTCAACCCGGGACCCAGAGGCCTCGCTATCGCATCTTCGAGCGCCCCGCAGGGACACTCGTTTCTGTCGACGAGCGCGAAGAAGCACAACTATCTGTCCAAGAAAGAGAGGGAGTCTGTCAGAGAGGATGAGCGGAGTCTGCTCCGCGACAACAATCTTCTGCTGCCAAAGCATCCGCGATCTGGCAGCCTGGGGCCTGCCACCAGGATAGGACCCAAGACATCCTTTTCGACCCTGCAAAAGGTCCGCAGTACGCCTGACGAGGAGTCTGGTCGCCACGCGGACGCGTCAGAGGCCGATGCTCTTCTCGGACAGGAAGGGGACCCAGACCAGCCGTACGGCGGCCTCGACACGCCCAAGACGATCAACAAGAGATGGAACGAAGCAGTTGCAGCCGGCAAGATCAACACGAGCTGGAAGCGAGAGACCAAAGTCCTGTGCAAGAGCTCCGCGCCCATGGTCCTGACTTTCCTCCTGCAGTACAGCCTGCCCGTCGCCAGCATCTTCACCGTCGGCCACATTGGTAAGACCGAACTTGGCGCCGTATCGCTCGCCTCCATGACCGCCTCCATCACCGGATACGCCGTGTACCAAGGCCTCGCAACCTCTCTCGACACACTGTGCGCCCAGGCCTACGGCTCCGGACGCCCGCACCTCGTGGGCCTGCAGCTGCAGCGCATGCTCGCCTTCCTGCTACTCATCACGATCCCAATCTCCATCATCTGGGCCTGCGGAACGCAGATCCTGTCGCTCATCGTCCCCGAGCCCGAAACCGCGCGCCTCGCTGGTCTCTACCTCAAAGTCCTCATCTTCGGCGCGCCGGGCTACGCCGCCTTCGAGAGCGGAAAACGCTACGTCCAGGCCCAAGGCCTGTTCAGCGTCAACATGTACATCCTGCTCATCTGCGCCCCGCTCAACGCCTTCCTCAACTGGCTCTTCGTCTGGCACCTCGGCTGGGGCTTCATCGGCGCGCCAATCGCCGTCTCCATAACCGAAAACATACTCCCCGTCATGCTGTTCCTGTACGTCCGCTTCATCGACGGATACCAGTGCTGGGGCGGCTTCGACCGGCGCGCGCTGAAGAACTGGACGCCCATGATCAAGCTCGCGCTGCCGGGGCTGATCATGGTGCTCGCCGAGTTCCTCGCCTTCGAGGTGCTAACACTGTCCTCGAGCTGGCTGGGCGAGACCGAGCTCGCAGCCCAGTCGGTACTGGGGAGTATAACGGGCCTCACGTTCCAGATCCCGTTCCCGATGAGCGTGGCGGCATCGACACGCATCGCGAACCTGATCGGCGCGACGCTTGCCGTGCCCGCCAAAACAGCAGCCAAAGTCGCCGTCGTGGCCTCCGTCATCGTCGGCTTCGGGAACCTGCTGCTGCTCAGCTTGCTGCGCGACCAGATCCCCCGCCTCTTCACCCCGGACCAGGACGTCATCGATCTCGTCGCCAAGCTGCTGCCGCTGTGCGCCACGTTCCAGGTCTTCGACGCGCTGGCCGCGAATTGCAATGGCATCCTGCGCGGCCTGGGCAGGCAGGAGATTGGCGGCTATGTCGGGTTGTTCGCGTACTATCTCGTCGGCATGCCGATTAGTTTCGGCACCGGGTTCGGGGCGGGATGGGGACTGTACGGGTTGTGGGCTGGGCCTGCGGTTGCGCTGGGCGTTGTATCGCTCATTGAGAGTATCTTCATCTACAGGACGAGCTGGGAGCGGGCGGTTGAGCAGGCCAAGGTTAGGAACGCGGCGAACTAGGCTAGGTAGGAATAACCACCCAGTCGATGGGGTCGTCAGGCCTTGTTTGTTTCCCTGATCTGTTTCTGTGCTTTCCTTCTGTGCTTTCCTTCTGTGCTTTTCTTCTGTGCTTTCCTTCTGTGCTTTCCTTCTGTGTGCTTTGCTCTCTCCACCTCCGTCGTTTGTCAACACACACCGTGCTCGCCTCCAACCGCTCCTCCTGTTCTCCTCACGGACGAGAAGCCTGCATGCATGCTGCCATGCAAGGGACGCGAGCAGCCGGTTTCGCCAACATCTGTGCTAGTCGAAAAAGAGAGACGGCGTATGCCTGGGAGAGAAAGAAGCCGGTCCATGCTTTACTCACGGCAGTCATGTTCTCCTGCTTCCTGCAGCGTTGTCAACTGGACGGAGCACTGGGATCTACCGTCGGTGTGCAGCAGCAGGTCGCAGCAAGGAACAGTGGTTATAGGAAGCTGTAGCTGTCAGGCGCTCTGTTCAGTATGTGGCCTTGGCCGCTTCTGACCTGCAATAAGTACTGTTCTGGCCACATGCGCACTATCTGATTAAGCACTGATGCCTTTTTGCTGGGTGGCCTGGCTGGGTGGCCCGGAGCTGGGTCTTGGCAGTAGCTGCAGCAGTAAGCAGTACTACAGTAAATTTGGAGTTGATTGGAAAAGTACAGCTCTTACAAAGTACTACAAGGACTCTCTGCCTGTGCAGACGGGGTACAGGGCTAACCAAGAGTCCTCGGACTATAGTAGTACATGAGGGGATCAACTCATTGTCTAGTTCGGCAGTAATTTGTCTCTCTAAAACCTGCAATAACGTTATGCTCCTACCCCTTTTCTATTCTGCAACGTTCTATCGCTTATGCAAGAGTCTCGAACACTGACTGTTATATTCTGTTTACATTCATAGTGCTAAGTAGTTAACTTGTAGGAAATTTCACGTTCTTATATGTTTTATATCACTGCATGTCAGGACCGGGCTCCGGCCTACCGGTACCTAGCCACTACAACCAAAGAGGTATCAATGCTCACTCAGATAGTGAGCCTGTGGCCACAACAGTACTTATTGCCATCCTATCTCAGGTCAGAGGTGGCCAAGGCCACATGCCTGGGGCCTGACAACTAACCTTGGTTAGCGTCGCAGGATCCAGCCGCCTTCAGCCTCAGCCTGCTCACCCCGCCGTCACACACAACGACCACTCACTCCATGAGCTACCGGGTGTTTACAAAATGTCCATATGCCAGAAAAGTAGCGGCGGCGAGACGCTGTGCGGCCACTGCTGCAAAGTTTCTTGGGCGAACCCCGAAAACGTATCGGCGTTCACAAGGCCTTTGCGCAGGGTCAGCATCAGCAGTTTGAAAAGCTCAAGCTGTCCCGTATGCCGCCTGATTGGAGAATTCAGATCAATGACTCGTTCGTTGGACAACGCCTCGTTCGGTTTGCTGAGAGAAAGGCAGCACAAGTGTATCGCAGAGCCCGGGACGAGTCACGAGGCTGTCTCTGTCTTGCGACAAGGCAGTGATCCGGATTACTTCTTCAGACCACACATACTCATGTCTCGCCTCGATCACAGCAACACTACTGTCCGGCTAAAGAGCATCTTTCCGCAAAAGCTAGACCACGATCTCCTAAAGAGCTGGCTGGACGACTGCAAGCTGAATCACCATCAGCGTTGTCGGCCACATCGTCGACCCCCATTACAGAGACTCAAAGTGATTGATTGTCATGACAGAAAAGTTGTGGACGCACTACCTGGGCTGGCTTTCTTTGCTCTTTCATACGTCTGGGGGGACTCGAGCTCAGAAGCTGTTGAGTGCTATGATGCATTAGAGTCGAGGCAGCTGATGCCCCAGACCATTAGCCAAAGTATACAGCTCACCCTTAACCTGGGATGTAGGTTCCTTTGGGTTGATCGTTACGTACGTCAAGCGTCCACGGTGAATAGTCTGGACTGACGAAATTAGTGCATACCCCAGCACGACCCGGCAGCGAAACAGCTACAGATATCCCAAATGGGAGATATATACTTGGCTGCAGATTTGACCATTGTAGCTTCAACAGGCACCGATCCCTCATCTGGACTACCCGGGCTCTCACCCACTTTGCGCCGCCCAGTTCATCATGTCGAAGTAAAAGGAAATCACCTTTACGCCATCCCACACATAGCTGGCTCAAGGGATATCCTTGATTCTCGCTGGGCAACACGAGGCTGGACATTTCAAGAAGGCTTCTTGTCTAGAAGGCGATTGGTATTCACAGACCGCCAGGCCATCTTCGTTTGCGACACCGAAACCTATTACGAAGCCACCACGATCCCAATGCTGCACGGCTACAAGAGCGTAGAGGACCGTGAGGCCTCTTATTTGCGGGAAGAGCTACTACTAGAGAACTGTCTGCCACGAAGGCAACTCGAAACAAAGTGGGCGGACACCGGGATCAAGAGCTCAGGTATGGATAGAGCCCGCGCATATCTTGAACAATACTGTCGTCGATCTCTAAGATTCGACAACGACGCGCTCGAAGCGATCAGTGGGGCGCTGTACACACTTGCTTCCGAGTCGGTATACCATATCTCGGGTCTCCCATTCGACTTCCACACCGATAAGAACGATCGTTACATCGAGCTCTCGATGCATTGGAGCCATCTAAATCGTGGAAAGACACGTCGACGGAATGGCTTCCCAAGCTGGTCTCCAATTGGTTGGGAAGGTCGTATATCATGGGACAGCAGGGCGTCGGCCCTACCTGCCCGCTTCAACGAGATACACGTTGTGGTCGAGCAAAAGGGAACCAGCTTATGGGACTTTGATGCATCGCCCGATCTTCGAGCTCACGTCACTAACGAGGAACAGCTTGCATTCGAACTGCCGACGACGAGACTCACAGTGCTTCGGCAATACGGGAGTGGAAAGCCGAGCGAAGAACACGTGATTGCACTGCGCTACGACGAGTATACATACATCTACTTGGGTACGTATTGGAGCATAAGTGATACTCAGCTCGCCAATACTGCCTATTTGACTGGCGTTCTTTTCTCGTCACATCTAAAATCCTACACAAGCTGGGTAATGGTTCTGCGGCAGCGCGGCGCATACTACGAGCGCATAGGCGTGGCGCGTTTCTGCGACCATTACAATGCTGGGCAGCTTGACTACTGCGTTCACGATTGGGAAGGCAGGGAGTTTCGCTTGAAGAACTGGCAATCGCTTGGCCATGGCCAAGGTGAATGGTGGCTTAAGCTTTTCAAGACAGAGGCAATCGTCCTCGGCTAGATGGAGCTATTGCTTCATATATGATAGCAGCCGCTGCATGAGATAGGAGTAGATTGTGCAGAAGGCTTTTGGAGCACAGACACTCGTCTCTTTGGCAGACGCTGTACCAGGTAGATCCTCCAGCCTGTCCGCGCCCAGCAGGTGTCAAATACCCATAGACTTTACTTTCTCCGTACAGTACAGGTCATCCCTTGGACTTCGCACTGGCCTTCCAACCGTCGAATTCGCACGGCCTGGATCGAATCTGCGTCGTATCAGCGAACAGACCAGTAGACAAAGACGCACAGTCAGCTCCATCTCCGCGGCCGCCAGCGCCCTGCATCCCGCTCCGCGCCCCCTCATGCCCAGTCCTCGCAGTCCGCGAACAGCGGAAACAACCGACACAATGCCGGCAGCAGCGTGCAACCACGGCCACCGAGACGCTCCTAAACCCGGCCAGGCAGCGCGGGCGCCGGGGACTAACCGCGACCAACACCCCGTGCACAACGGACTCGTGTGAGCCTCGCGAGTAGCGAGCGGCGTCGCGACTGCGTCGCCGACACGCAGAGAGCGCTCGGCTGCCGCAGCAATGCCAGCTTCCCGCTGCTGCCCGGTGCCACGGTCGACGGAGCGGCCAGCAGAGCGACGCCGTCGTCGAGTCGGTGGGAGACGCGGAACGAGCTCGTGTGGCGTCGTGGTCGCAGCGAATGTGTTCCAAAACGTCTTTCCAGCCAACGTCCCCATCGCCTCCAGGACCATGAGGGAGGGGGCGATCCATGTCGTGCGCTCTGCGAACCGGCTTCTCGGGGCCTCTGATCTGGGGACAGCCCTGGTGTGTGTGGCTCTTGGGCGGTGTGTTTGGTCGCCTGTGGGCATTGTGGGGCTCGGATTCGGGCTGTTGATGCTGTGTTCTGCAATGTCAAGGCACTGGAACGCGTGGGCTGCAGGGTGGTTAGGAGCTCCACGCCAACACTCTTGGTCACGCACGGTTGGTCTTGGTTGCCAGCTGTCATTTCTTGTTGAATTGCTACTGGGTATCGTGTGTTCTTGTCTTCGTGAATGTCATCTTTCGCCACCAGAGTGTCCGCCTCGCTCCGACTGCCCAATCTTTGAGTCGTTTGCATATCATGTGACATTCTCGCCTACGGCTGCTCAAGTGCAACGCCGTCCCACACGTGGCTCTTCTCCTCGGTGCTGCTGCGGTTTTTGCTGTGCGAGCACCGAGTGCTCGGGCGCGGGAATGCATTGTTGAGCAGCCTACATATTGTGTGAGTGCGCGTCAAGCAGCGTTGAGGGCGCAGGGGATAGGAGGCCAACGCAAGTCGGGGTTTCTCTCCTCGGAAAGGGCTCAGAACCAGATCTTGATCAACTCTTCCGAGACTGCAGACGGTGTGAGTACACCGGACTCTGTGATGATTCCAGAGATGAGATCGGGGGGCTAGAACGGATGTCAGCATGAAGAAAGTCAAAGTCATAGTTATAGGTTAACCTACTGTGAAGTCGACGGCATCCTCGGCATTCAGCCCTGTCGATGTGTGCTTCAAGGTCATGTCGGCGATACCCTCGTCAACTGCGTCCTTGGCCCCTGCCTTGCTGGCCTTGGGATCATCTGTGACCTTGAAATCGAGCACCTTCTGCTCGATGGGCAGATCGAACTGGCTGAGAGGGTACAGCCTGACGAACTTGTGGCTCTCCGCAACCACGTAGAATGGCTTGCCCTTGCTCTTAGCCAGCAGACCCATCTGGTATGTTCCCATGCGTGAGATGATACCTCCGTTCTCAACGACGCCCTCTGCTCCAACAATGACCATGTCCACTTTGCCCAGCGAATATGCTACTGCGGAATCCGAGATAGTAGCAACAGGGACGTTGTGTGCGCGCAGATCGGACACGGTCTGGTCGCCTTCATTGGCATCAGAGGTGTGCGAGGACGGCACAACGTAGATGACCTTGAAGCGGATCGTGCTGGACTCGGCTGCCCGCCTCAGAAGCGCGCCAACAACACGCGAGCCACCATTCGTGAGCACAGTGGCTCCGTCGCGAATGAAGTGCTTGCCGAAGCTGGCAATCTTCTCTCGACTCTGCTTGGCCCGTTCTACGAACAACTTGCCGTTGGACAGTAGATGGTTGCGAATGGCGCGGAAGTCATCGTCAGGACCGAGATTCAGGCTAGCTGGGCGGTTGAGGGTGGTAATGAGGTAGCGCTGGAAGAGATCGGTGCCGGCAGAAAGCGAGATTGGGTTTGCGATCGAGGCTTTGAGGGCGGCAGTATGGCGTTCGAGAAGATCGAGTGTTTCGGCGACGGTCGATACTGAGCTCTGTGCGATGGCTTCTACGAGGGCTTCAATGGCCGCAACAGGCATAGTAAGCTCTGGGTCCTCATTGAGAATACGGCGATAGCTCGACACGATGTCGAACTCTGCATTGGTACTCATTCTGGCGGGCTGTTGACTGTGAACGTAGATTGTCCAAAAGTTATTCGGAGGGGTCTCGCGATGGAGTCATGCCAAGCGAATTTCCCCACACCCGCTCGAACCCTTCGTTCCTGTCTCCCACAACAATACGCCATGACCTGGCTCGCAAGACCCAGCGATGGCCCAGAACGTCAGATTGTTTCGAGACTGAATGGAATTATCAGAATATTGGCCAACGACACGCTCAAAACCAATCGTCGCGCCTGCTTCATGCGCGTGGCTCAACACCCGCCATCGAACCTCGCGCGTCAAATGAGTGGGGTCACACCGGAGCACGAAGCACAATAAAGAGCTTAGTTGGGATGATGTTGTTTCGAACATGATTAAATCTAGGAATTGCCTGACTTCCCCAGTTGTGCCAAGATGCTTCTTTGCATTCCGTGTCGCACAATGGCTCCCCACGGGATGGCGCAGCGTGATACCTCAAGCACCGCAGACACCACGAGCACTTAAGAACCAGTCTCATGCACCCTTTATCGACGGATCTGCATGCAAGTTGTTGAGCCTCATTCGCCCCCACTGACTACTCCGTTTCCAACACGCTAGTACACCGTATAGTCACTATACCCACATCTCGGTGCGCTTGCTTCACTTTCGAAGCTACGAAGCTTGCGAGAACCTGCACAAAGCCCCTCACCTTGCTGGTAGCCCCTCATTCTCTCATATTCACCCGTCTCTCAACCTTCACCTCAGACTGAGTCCTCTTTCTACAGACCCACCCTCTGAACCATCAGAAGAAAATCCCAGTTCAAGAGCACAATTGAATTTCTTGACAACACTCTTCTAAGCTCAGCGCCTACAACAAAGACGAAAGATTATCGTCACTCATTCGGCAAAATGCCGTACATCATCAACGTACCGCACATGCCCCGCCCTTACATCACCAACAACCCTGCCGTGTATATGGACTGCCTTTCCTGGGGCTGGCAATGCGAGTCACGACCATTCTCAGACCCCTACTGCAAGACAGCCCGCAGGCGAGAGGAGGCGAGGTACGAGGCTGACAAGAGGGCCGAGCAATTGGACAAGTACTATTCACAAGAACTTGCACGCCGCAAGCACGCCAAGCGATCCATGTCCATTACCAACCTGGGCCTCACGAAGTCTCTCAAGCCGTTTCAAGGGTTTGGGAGGCACTCGAGGCACGATTCGGTGACCGGCGTGACAGTTATGGAGCTGGGCTCCGATGTCGAGGATGTCGACCTGAGTGATTGAGCGTGACCGTCTGGCATAGGACCTTCACACAAGCGACGGCGTTTTCGGCATCAGACGACACGATTTACGGCATCTTCTCTTCTTAGACTTAGGCTTCAAAAACAAGCTTCTTCCTTTATCTCACCGAATAGTTGCATCCAATGACCTCGGTTTCCACTTAATTGATGCTGAAGGGTTCACTGTTACCATGGTACGCACGAGATGCCTCCGCATCGCATTGCGGTCAACGGCAAAGAGTGCAGACCGTAGTACTACTCAGGGTCGCCAATTGCAGTTGATATGATGCCTTTAGTCCTCGATCGTACCGCGCTTCCACAAGCTTTGCCCGCGCCGTAAGCCGATGAGAACGAACCCGAAGACCACCATGGACCCAGAAATAATGCCAGCTTCTCTACGAATCAGAAAGGCTGAGGCCAAACCTGCAGATCAGTTGCCACGAGACAAAAGCTCTTGCACCAACAGTTGGACCGACGGGGTACAGCTATCGACATCGAGGCGCTCGTAGAAGATGTCAGCAAGCTTAACACGAAGCTCCACAATTCCATCGCACAGTGTAGTAATGACAACAGAACATGAACCGATGTTGAACCTCGCGCGTCAGTAACCTCAGCGGCACTATTCCAAGATACACGGCGACATTGACTTTTATACAGGAACTAGGATGGTTAGTGGTCAGGAGGCGATACGACTTGCTACGTCAGATGAAGCAGTAGGTACTCGCACGTAGCCTTTCCACATGGATCACTATTGACTCAGGTCAACTTAAGGTCGAAGCATCTTTTCAGACATCGCAAGGAAGAAATCGCCGACCTTGCCGATGTGGACATAAACAACAAATCGAATACGTTCAGGGAGCGGTCCGCGGCCTACATACCGACTTCGCCGGATTTCTCCCACAAGCATGATCCAAGGGACGACCAAAGCCACTCCGGCGTCCGGCTTATTACCGACACTACAACTGAAGCAGCGAAGTCAGTTGCTCGCAGGTAGCCAGGCTCTCGATTTGTGGCATATTATACGCCACGCGGCAGGCTCACAATGGAGACTACAGGATTATTTGCAAAGGCGGGCAGTTCTCCCCTGGGCTGGCCTTTCTCCCTTCACATACCTCGACGCGTGGGAGGAATCGCACGGTAGCAGGATGAAGGCTCTTCACCGACGGCTGAAGAAGCGAGTGGGTAGACTGCGGGCTTCAGGTATGAGGTCGGAAGCTCAGTGATGTTAAACCAGAACTGTTGCTAAGCTTCGGACTCATTCATTCTGGATATCGCTTCGATTGAGCTCTGGTCCTTGTATATGAATCGAGGGCAATTTCTTCTACCCTGCTGCGCCACGCTCGGTCGTTGCCAGCTTCCAACACCATAAGTGGCCCGCCCAATCAGAGGCCATGCGCAATGCAGGCCTCATGAACCTGTAAAGTGACAGCCGATCGTTCTGCTGGTCAAAATGTATGCAACTTTCGGAAAGAACGTAACCGCATCACAGCCGTCTTCTATCCCGGTGCGAGTTAAAAATAGAGACCGCAAAGCTTGACCTACAGTCGTCAATTCATAACGGAAATAAACTAGTGTCGCCCGAAACGGCAGCATCGGGCACGCTTCTGACCAAATCGTTCGTCATCCCCCAATACGAACCACACATCAACGCGTACGCCACCCCGGCAGATCGGTGTCAGCAGAGCCACGCAATGAGGGTAGTGACAGATAGTACCTGCAGCCACCGCGCGGCCAGCAAACTCGTGTACAAAATCCCGGAACCTCCGGCTTTCTCCCTTGCTTCATCCACTCCACGGCCAAGCCTTGTCGTGAATACTAAGCTCGGGCTATAAAGCTTCGTCCCTCGTTTGACAGCTTGCCATCACTCTTTTTTGCGGCAACATGAAGTTTACCAGCACTTTCGCAGGCCTCGGTGCTGTCGCGGCAACACTGCTGGGCAGCGTTTCGGCCGCGAGCTACGACGACATTCCTGACATCGAGGTCTACGGACAGCACTTCTTCTACACGAACAACGGATCGCAATTGTACGCCCAAGCTTCGAGGATCACAAGAAACAGCGCTAACGATGCTTCAGCTACCTCAAGGGTGTTGCGTACCAACAAAACTACTCGCCTAATGGCTCCACCAGCTCTAATACCAGCTACACTGACCCACTGGCGGATGGCGATGCTTGCAAGCGTGACATCCCTTACTTGAAGCAGATCTTCACCAACATCATCCGCGTGTACGCCATTGACCCGACCAAGAACCACGATGACTGCATGGCGCAGTTGGCTTCGGCAGACATCTACGTTATTGCTGACCTGGGTGAGCCCGGCACATCGATTATCTCAGATGATCCTGAGTGGGACGTGGCCCTGTACAACCGCTACACCGGCGTCGTCGATGCACTCCAGAAGTACAAGAACGTGCTTGGCTTCTTCGCCGGCAACGAAAACGTCAGCTCTGCCAACCAGACGGCAGCTGCAGCATTCGTCAAGGCAGCTGTCCGCGACGTCAAGGGATACATTTCCTCGCAGAAATACCGCAGCACGCTCGGTGTAGGCTATGCAACAGCCGATGTGCCCACTCGTGATGAGCTGGCGCACTACTTCGCATGCGAGTCGGGCAATTCGGGCAATGCTACGTCGATCGACTTCTGGGGCTACAACGTGTACTCGTGGTGTGGTGACAGCAGCTACTCAGCTTCCTCGTACGGCGAGCGCGTCGACTTCTTCTCCGACTACCCCGTCCCCGTCTTCTTCGCTGAGTACGGTTGCATCGAGGGCGTCGACGGCGGCGCGACACACCGTCCCTTCACAGAGGTGCAGGTCCTGTTCGGCAACATGACCAGCGTCTTCTCCGGCGGTATTGTCTACGAATGGTTCATGGGCACCAACGACTACGGCCTCGTCGAGCTGACGTCCAACGACGCCTCCGTCTCGCCTTACCCCGACTTCACCTCGCTGCAGTCCCAGCTGGCGTCGGTCAGCCCCACAATCACCCAGCGCAGCGCCTACACGCCCTCTCACTCGGCGCCCGCGTGCCCGTCCGTCGGCTCAAGCTGGGAAGCCGAGGCCTCGCCGCTGCCTCCTTCTCCGAACAGCGAGCTCTGCTCCTGCATGGTCGCCGGTCTGCAATGCAACATCAAGAGCACCAACGAGGACGACTACGCCGACGTGTTCAACTACATCTGCGGCGCCAACGAGGACTTCTGCACCGGCATCACCCGCAACGCAACGACGGGCAGCTACGGCGGGTACTCTGGCTGCAACCCCAAGGACCAGCTGGCCTGGGTCGCCAACCAGTACTACCTGGGCAACGGCAAGAGCAGCTCTGCGTGCGGCTTCAGCGGCATGGCGACGGTGCAGACGGCCGCAACGGCGAGCACGTGCTCCAGCTTGCTTGCGGCTGTAGGCACTGCGGGCACAGGGACAGCGGCCAGCCCGACTGGAAAGGCGACTGCTGGGTCGACCGGAGCGTCGGGCAGTTCGTCCAAGGGCGCGGCTGCGGGCCTCAACGGACCCAAGGCCGTCGAGCATGGCGGTCTCGTTATGGGCATCTGGTCTGTCGTTGCAGCGGGTAGTCTGCTGGGTATGCTTGTGTTGTGAGCTATATGACGAAAACGAAGGCAGAGGGAAATGTACATGTAGATGCAATCTTTAGAGTTGGTTCAATCAGCATGATTCAGAGTTCAATCAGCATGCTTCAGAGTTCAATCAGCATAATTTCGAGTTCAATCAGCATAGTTTCGAGTTCAATCAGCATAGTTTCGAGTTCAATCAGCATAATTTCGAGTTCAATCAGCATAGTTTCGAGTTCAATCAGCGTAATGTCCAAGTGGTAACCGAATCGAGACGTCGTGAGACTATATCTGCAAAGCCTTCTCTTTCTACATATCTTACAGCTCGTCTACGTCCAGATTCTATGGGTATCTTGCATATGGTACAGTGTGGTACAAAAACACCCTCGTTCCAGACTCATGGTCCCAGGCCAATGGTGTGCAGCCTGCGCATCTGGCCTCTCATCTGCTTGGCGCTCGGGACTTGCGCTGCGTCTGGAAACGCGTCGCCCGCGCTCGGCTTCGGTCTGCGGAACTGCTGCATCGGGGTTGCAGGTTGCTGGTGCGGCTTGCTCTCAGCGTCTTCCGCGTCGGCGGCCTGCTGCCGCAGGTTCGCAGTTCGCTCCTCTACATCGTCCGTCTCTAGATCCTCCAGGTCGCGCTCCAGCTCCGCGAGCTGCTCGTCCGCACTCCTCTCCTCCCGCTTCTTTGTCCGCAGCACACCGCCCCACAGCGTCTCCAGGTCGGTCTCGGCCCGCTTCTCCTCGGTGAACATCTGCACCACGATATTGACGCCGGGCTTGCCCTCGCGGAACCCGACGAACTCGACCACGTCGTCACCCGGCATGTGCGTGTCTTCGGGGTGCGCGTCGACCTTGGACAAGGTGCAGCAGATCCAGCCCGTGCGTATCCCGTCGTCGATGTTGCCCTCGGGCAGCGTGCCGCCGACGTTGGCCAGCATGCGCATCCGCTTCGCCTTCCGGCGCAGCTTGATCTTGAGCTCGTTGCGCCCGAGGAGGCCGGCGGCGTTCGCTTTGAGCCCGTGCTCGCGGCGCAGCCAGCGCGCGAAGCGGTCGGCGGCGACGTGCAGGTGGCGCTCCGAACGGGCGGTTGCGATGAGCATGATGAGCTTTGGGCCCAGCGCGGGCGGGGGGTCGAGATGGCGCAGGTCGAGCAGCGTGAGGTCGTCGAGACCTGCGGTTACGGCGATGTACTCGAGCAGTTCGGCGAGAATCGGGGGTGGATTGATGGGCAGGTCCGGGATCGAGACGGCTTGCACGGGAGCCCGGGGTGCAGATTGCTGGCGGAGGTACCATGGTATGGCTCCAGCGGCTGGAGAGGGTGTGGGTGCGGCATCGCCCAGGGACTCGGTGATAGCTGATGGCGAATGTTCGGGCTGGAGGGCGGACTCGGGTACAGCAGTTGCGTCTTTTGCGTCTGTGAAGGTCTCGACAGGGTCTTTGGCATCGATGAATGCGAATTCGGGGTCGTCGTTGGTTGGTTCCTGCTTGTCTTTTCTTCGTGAGACGCTGGTGCTGAAGGCACTCCTCCCGGCATAGGCAGCTTTGGGGGAGCGAATTGCGAAGCCATTGATGGCTGGGCTGGGTGCAACGACGCTCCTCGCAGCAACTCTGCAAGCACTGCAGACGAATCGTGACGACACGGACATAGCGGCGCTTACTGGATGTGAAAGTTGGCGATGGCAAAAGCACGAGACTGCCTTGAATTCGGTCGGCGGTTGACGCCTGTCGACGCCGACGCGGCGCCTGAGCACGTGGCGATAAGCTAGTTATCGCAGGCGGGGCCAGAGTCATGACTGAGAAGCGGCTCGAAAAAAGTTGGTGGGGGTGCAACGCATTTGCAAGCAGACATTTGCCTCCGCACCGTATATACAAGCATCTCTCCGCGCCACCCACTTCTTACAGCCTACCGACGAGGACCCCTAGGAAGATACACTCTCCTCCTCCGATATACGACGAACACACCCACCCACCCACATACCCGAAACCCTACGCATCGCCGCAGCCATGGACATGGACGGCGGCATGGCCTTTGCGCCTCAGCAGAAGAACGCCGCAACGATTCTCTGCGCAGACTGCGGTGCACCCGTAGACGGCACAGTATCCGGCGCCTTTTGCTACGACTGCATCAAGCTCAAGACCGACGTCACCACGGGCGTCCAGCGCGAAGCCATCCTGCTCATGTGCCGAGACTGCGACCGCTGGCTCTCCCCGCCCACGTCCTGGGTCGTTGCGGCCCCCGAGTCACGCGAGCTGCTTGCCCTGTGCCTGCGCAAACTGCGCGGCCTGAACAAGCTGCGCATCATTGACGCCAGCTTCATCTGGACCGAGCCCCACAGCAGGAGGATCAAGGTCAAGATCACAGCGCAGTCGGAGATCAACGAGGGCGCCATCCTGCAGCAGACGTTCGAGGTCGAGTTCAAGCAGAACTACCACCAGTGCCCCGACTGCGCCAAGAGCTACACACACAACACATGGCGGGCCTGCGTGCAGGTGCGACAGAAGGTCCCGCACAAGAGGACTTTCCTGTACCTCGAGCAGCTAATCCTGAAGCACGGCGCCCACAAGGACACGATCAACATCAAGGAGGTGCACGACGGCATCGACTTCTTCTTCGCGCAGCGTAACCACGCCACCGCCTTCTGCGACTTCCTCAAGGCCGTCGTGCCCGTCAACATCAAGGACTCCCAGGAGCTCATCTCCCACGACATTCACACTTCGACCAAGAACTACAAGTTCTCGTACTCGTGCGAGCTGGTGCCCATCTGCAAGGACGACCTGGTCGTGCTGCCCATCCCGCTGGCAAAGAAGATCGGAAACATCGCCCCGCTGGGCCTCTGCTCGCGCATCGGCACCAGCGTGCAGTTCCTCGACCCCTCGACCCTGCAGACCGCCGACATCGACACAAAGCTCTACTGGCGCACGCCCTTCCGCCCGCTGGCCGACGTGCAGGAGCTCACCGAGTTCATCGTGCTCGACATTGAGCCACTCGGCAAGCAAGTTGGACGCAACTTCCTGGCCGAAGCAACCATCGCCCGGGCCTCCGACATGGGCTCCAACGACACCACGTACTACTGCCGGACCCACCTGGGTGGCATCCTGCACGTGGGCGACAGCGTGCTAGGCTACCTGCTGGCCAACACAAACTTCAACAACGACGTCTTCGACGTGCTGGAGCAGTCCACCAAGCACGCGAGCAAGATCCCGGACGTCGTGCTGGTCAAGAAACACTACCAGCGCGCAAAGAAGAACAAGAACAAGCGCAACTGGCGCGTCAAGCGCATGGGTCGCGAGGAATCCGAGATGCTGCCCCGCAAGCAGGACCAGGACAAGATGGAGCGCGACTTTGAGATGTTCCTGCAGGACGTCGAGGAGGATCCTGAGCTCAGGGCCACCATGGCCCTGTACAAGGCCCAGCAGGAACAGGCGCAACGCGATGCGGATGCCATGGAGACAGAGGATGAGGCAGAGGAGGACGAGGGGCTGGCTATTCCCATGGAGCAGTTGTTGGATGACTTTGAGGATATGACGATGAAGGAGTAGAGGGGTGTCGTAGTTGTGCACTTCATGCACGTCATGTCAGCATCGCTGTTTCTGTTCTGCATTTCGAGGCGTTGGTGGTCTAAAAGCATGATGACGGTGGTCTGGTCGATGATCTGGCGTAAATGGTACTTTACATACTTTGATAGTTGTGAGCCTCAGTAGCTTGCATGACATGAAAGGAACATGCTCATCTTGGCCACAAGTTCCCTTCAACATGCCTCATATGTGGTCCGTTCAGAACCTTCCAGCTGGCCGTTGAAGACATCGAAACAATTGCGCCGTTTTATATATCAAGTTCTTATCACTTTGAAGATGTCGCGCAAGCGCGTTCCTCTTGGCAGGGCTTCTCAGATCTACGGAAAGGGGCCCTTTCAAGACTCCACTTGATATGATCGTCGACGGGCGTTATGAGATCGATGCTTTGGCCAAGAAGGTGTCGCTTCGGGCATCCGAGGTAGACGCCGCCAATGTTAGCGCGGCCGAACGTAGCCCTGTACTTGTTGCACATATCGAGCGGCACAATGACTCGATTGTTCTCGAGAAACATCCTTCGGGACTCCATGCGGTTGGTGCGGCAGCATTGTGTAAGACAGAACTACTTACGGCGTATGTGTCGAATTCTTGGCCAAAAGCATCGCATGGTAAAATGGATGAGGACAGGGCATAGTTCACATGTGCCTTTGCTGTGGTTTCCTTTGCAATGGTTGAGATCGAGTTGGATCATAGCGTATACCCGATTGCGGACTTTTGGGAAATCAGGTTAGCTGCGCCCGCCAGGCTTTAGGACGCGGAGAAGCTATCACCAGGAAAGTCGATAAAAAGTAGCTTCTGGCGGCGAGCGTCCTCCTCGTAGAGTATCTACGGGTGACTTGCGCGGCTGTCTTCCATGGTGGGATGTTTGCCAGCGCGATCGCTAATGGACGCGTCTTCGGCAGTCTTCGTGGACCCGGTCCGTTCTGTCAGTGCTTCAGGTCGCAGAGATGAGTGTGGATGCGCGAACATGCACGCCGATGCTCCGCTCGAGCTCTCCGAGACTGCACAATCAATTGAAGGTCATGGCGGGAGAGGAATGGAGGCAAGCTAGATGCGGAAGGGAGGCCGTAGGAAGGTGCCAAGGAATCTCGTGACATCATGTTCCTTCGCGCGGAAAGCACTTTTCCATGTGACTGGTGCTGCTGCAGGGTGAGGTAAGAGAACGACTTTAATACCACGAAAATTCATCCAGCCTCTCACATTCCTCTATAAGGTCTTCACAAGTACTTGCACAGCCCTGATCAGCTTCAGCTCATCAGCGTTCCCGCAGGCATGTCACCGGCCGCCTAGATCCAAGGGGTACCTTCCTAAAGCAGCCCCGTTCAGATCAAGGTTAAGCGACGTGTTTTGACACCACATGGCACCAACGGCAGCCACCACGCCTTTTGACTTCCTCCGCGGCGCTGTGCGAGCGGCTATTCGACAATAACATATGGCCTTCAGCTACATCCATCAGCGGCAATTGCAGCGAGCAGTTCACTACCCTTGTGCTGATCTACCATGCGTAGATACAGCCCGTGTTCTGGCTCCTTTGGCCTAAAAAAATTCATCGTCCAATGGTCCGGTGGATTTACCAAGGATTGCTGGCAACGAATGCGTAGAATAGGTCTGAAACTTCGGCGCCGGACTGCATTTGGGCAAGGCTTGCCGTGGGCAACGACATGCTATCCTTGAAGTTGAAGCGGATGTAGCTGCTAGTGGCATCGTGCGACGAGATTCACATCTCAGTGAGATTCATTGAGGATACCCATGTCTCTTCACGCGGCTCAGCCGAGTCATGTAGGCCTTAGGCTTCGCAAGCATCCACACCTGCCATGCGGTATATCACCTTAAGGGTAGAACGGCCTCTAGACCACGAGGTACGGAAGATTTGGCCGACCTCGTTCGTATCCTGCGCCGCATGCTTTCTGTCCGAAAGCTTATGATTTCAACGGCTCTACATTCTAGTGACTGAATACTCCTCTGAGCTATTACTCCTCCACATCCATTCCAGACCCTTCCGAGGAGAGCGACACCATGGACGAACTCAGCGCCATGCTTGGCGAGATGCTCAAAGCATATCCGGATCCAAGTGGTCCACGACCTATTGCGAACTATCCTGCAACAATGTATGGAGTCACGATCACATTTCACGTAGGTCGCTCGCGGTACCATCCAGGTTCGGGCAAGAGTTGACAGACATAGCTATTGAGTTGGGTTGCAGTGGGCTTTCGTCTTCACACACGCATCAGAGTCGTTCGTGAGCCATGGTGGGATGACCTCTTCGTCCTCCTAGCGTCAATCGTCAACTTGGTCTCTGTGATAGGATTCCTAGCGGGTACGGATATCCGCTTTCTGCTGATGTGTACTGAGCTGACAATTTCTCAGGCACCAAGTATGGCCTTGGTCATCACCTTATCTACGTTATCAACACCCTTCCGGTCATGATGAAGTACCTCTATGTCACCAACGCTGCCTACCACACGACCACCTTTCTCATCAAGGTCTCACTGCTATTGCAATACCTTCGCCTCTTCAGACAAGGTATCCTGCGTTACATCTGTATGATCCTATTGTTCATTGTAGCCTGCTGGGGTCTTGCATTCTCCTTCCTCGCCTGGTTCCCTTGCCTGCCAGTATCTGGGTTCTGGCACCGAACTGCCCAGTCAAAGTGCTATGGATTCGGCTACCGCACCATGGACGAAGCCAAGATTACACTGTACATCTTTGCAGGAACGAACATGTTCTTCGACGTTGTCATCTTCCTCATCCCGCTCACTGAGTTCTTCAGGCCGGGACTCAGGAAGAAGCAGATACTGGCGATGATCGGACTGTTTGCTGTGGGCTTCCTGGTCGTGCTCATGGCTGTTCTCCGTCTCTGGAGCACATTCAAGCATAGCGCGGAGGCCATGAAGGGCTTTGATTTCACTTGGTATGTCCACTTGCCTCTCTCCATCGACTTTGGTCCTAATATTACACAGGTGGTACCCCGAGGTCTTGATCATCTCATGCCTAGAAGTCGACTTTGCCATCATATGCGCCTCGATGCCCATCTTCTGGCCGATAGTGGTGACTAATTGGAATGCAATATTCGTCACAAAGGAGGTTCACATCACACACCAAGATCGAGTACAGGGCTTCGAAATGGGTCGACCAACTTCGTTGAAAAGCACTGCTAGTCAAGAAGGTCTGACAAAGCTGCCGAGCGGAGAGCAGAAGTCGTATTACTACAATGACTTCGGAGAAGAAGCAAGCACAGGGAAAAGCCCCGCGTTGACGGTGAGCGAAGAGGTCGCACCATCGAGACGCATGGTATGAGCAAATTAAAGTCCACTTACCTCTACCGAATGACTGTGCCAATACGTGTACGTGAAGAACGCGATTTTTGACTTGATGACATCTGCCATCTGCCATCTCGCAGCAGTTCGCAGCCCCCTGCCTAGCATTGAAACGTCTGTGCGCGGCTGCCACTCTTTCCGCACCATAACCGCGGCCCCGTCCGTGTTGACTCTTCTTCACCTCTCTCCCCAACGCCACTTCATCCTTCGCCCTCGTGTTTGCCGCCCAGCCACTGAGAAGGAAGAAGTGGCACAAAACGAATCTATTGGTGTGGTCAAAGTTAAAATAAGAAGCGGCGTATCTTCGGAGCCCACATAGCAGCGTATTGGAGTACACAACTAGCAGTAGCAGGGCGCTTAAAGCCCCATGTGACTTGAGACACGTACAGGTTCAAGATCACCACATCCAGCAATCCACGTCGCAGCGCAGCATGCGCATGAACGATCCAATCCGTGGCAGCCTCATATAGTCCTGGGTGTGGCCTGATTTCCTCGGTCCTTGTTCGCCTTTCTTTTTGTCCTTGTTGCCTTGGGCATACAGTCATTTCCAAGCCACCACTCAGCTATCCAGAAACAAGTGCCGGTCACTTGCCTTAATACTAGACCTCGAAGTCGAAAGAGCCGAGAGCCAGTCACCATGCTGTCCTCCCTGTTCACAAGCATCCTCCTCTTCCTCTCCCTCCTGCACCTGTCGGCAGCCGTACCCGGTCCGAAGCCCTCCGTCGCCCAAGAGCAAAGCCAGGTTGAAGTCCGACAAGTCTCCGCCACACCTTCACAGGCAGATCTATGTCTCGACTACGAGCGCACAGCCAACATGTCGACCATCGGCGCTAACGGCACATACCGAACTGTCCTCCTTCAAAAGTCCAGCACGGGCACCATCTACAATGCGCGCATGATGGATGCCGCGATCAGGAAGCTGCCGGTCCTGACTGCAGATAAGACTTTGAACACGGCGTGTGGGAACTGGACTGAGATTGCGCTGAGAGAGGCGGAGAAAAACTTCACCATGGGGGTGGTAGCACAGTTCACGACTGAGGGATTGCCCGTGGGGATTCTGGCTGGGCCGATGGTGTTGGCGGTCTGCGGATCTATTGCTCTGTTGTTTTCGATTGTTTGGGTCAGTGGGTAGAAGATGCGGATGGGACGGCAATATTGCTGAGTTTACAAGTATCGAGTGCTCTCGGAGTGTCAATGCTCGAACTCGCTGGCTTATGTAGAGTACAACGATATATCATGATATGTTTGTTGCCTTGCGGTAACTAAGAACTGTCAGCCAGAAAGCCGCTCGGGAAAGTCACGCTGGCGCGAGAGAGATGGTGCACCCGTGCGCCCTCGCCCGTTTTGCCATAGATGTCGGCTATCTAGATAACTGTGGCTACAAACAGATGTTTGTAGATAACTGAAGGCCCTAATCTGCAAGTTCTGTCTTAACCGATGTCACTAAACGCCAATGAAGAATTCGAAATCATCATTCTGAGTTGTGCTTTTTCTGCCCGCTCTGTCGCTCTCTGTTCGTAAGCTTCCTCGTTGATCGAATCTGATGTACTCATCTCAGAGCCATCTGAGGCAACGGAACTGATGGTTGACGCGGATGACATGTACTGCAAACGTGACTCGAGCAATCGGGGCTGAGACCGTGAAGATGTCGAAGTGCTTTGTGAAAGACGCTGTTTCGCAGCGAAGCTGAGTGGCGGTTTGCTATGCTCCCGCTCTGGAAGTTTTGTAGCACCCACGTACTGACTTAAAGGGTCTGGCTCGGGTAGTGCTTTGCGAGCGGTGTTTGCGTGAAGACGATTTCGTCTGAGGGTCTGATGTCTGTCCGCGTCTCGAGAAGTCGCAGGTTCAGTAGTAGTAGAGAATTGATACGGTGTGTCTCTGCGTGCCCCAGCTAGATCATCGAAGGTACTGCAGACGGCTGGCCTCAAACGCTCAGCCCTGTCTTGTGTGTACTGGTCATGCATTTCATGTGTTGAAGCGTCGCTGGCTCGTCCTAAGCCCGAAGGAGACACGAAAGTTCTGCTTGCTTCAGCGACAGGGGCCGATGCTTCGCTTCTCTGTTGGTACTTGGATCTTGTCTCTAAGGTACGCAGCTCGGCGAAGGCGGGATCTCTGGGGCCAGGAGCTGTCAGAGGCAGCTCTACTGGCGCTCTGATCTGTATCGGGCCAATCTCAAAGCTCTTTTCGAAGTCCTTATGTACCTTCGGAGTCATTTCCGGTTCACTAGAACCAGCTATGTTTGACCTGTCTAGGTGCAGATTGCTTCTGGTATGTTCACGCCGCGCAGATATTGTGGGTCCATCAGAGAGTTCAGAGCGAAGGTCTCGTTCGCTGGCTAGTTCGGTGGGCGGAAAGCGCACTTCAGGGTCAGATGCATTGCGCCTGGAAGTTTGCAGTCGTGACCGACCGCCGCTAAGTTCAACACTACGTTGGGTGCCCTCAGAGAGCCTTGAACTCTTTCCAATCGACCTGCCCGTACTAGTTGGCACTTCTGGAGTGGGTTCTGATCGCGCTTAAATTAGGAGGTGCCCTGATTTCCCGATTTGTACCGTGCACAACTTACCTAACACTCTGTCCTCAGTCATGATCGCACGTGGGAAACCGCTAATCATGTATCGCTCAGAGGTAGGCGACCTTCCTGGCAATAGCAGTGAGATTCCGATCTTTTCATTCTTATCCCGCACGTGGATAGCGGGTGCAGGTAACGAGAAAGAAGCGATATCTCTCATGTGCGAAATGACAAGTGTAGACAGCTCAACCTGTGTCGTTGTATGTTAGCAAGATCAGCAGAGATCGTACCAAAATCTTACAATCTCAACGACTCTTTGCTCAGTGACGTTTTCTATCTCGAATTTTAATTGGAAGTCCTTCGTCTGCAATTTCCGCAGGTAATCACCAAACGCACGAAGTTCATCCGACTCATCCTCAAATCGGCAGCAGATCTTTCCTACACAAATTAGTACATGAACAGGCCAATGTGAGAGTAATTGAACATACCTGTACATGCGTATCCGTTGTACACGTTTCTAGGCACGTTGGTCCGCTCGTAGTAGAAAGAACTCGCTACCAACATGTGCGCCACCCTTTTGACCCGAGCCCGGTTCTCGGGCCTCTCCAAAGCATTGCGTGTAGCAGTTTGAACACCTTTGATTTGAGCTACATCATCCAGGCTTGGTGCGTTGCTGAGCTCAGGGTTGATGCGCACGTATCGAAAGGCGTTCTCATCGGTGGTGGCAATTTCGCAGAAATCCAGCCACGCATTTTCGGCATGTAAGATATTATCGAAACGACTGTGCTGTAACACCATTTCAGCGAGAGAAGACATTACATAGTTGAGGGGAGCTTACCATTGCAGTGAGGATTTGCTTGAATCCCATAAACGTGAAACCACTTTTCTTAGTCGAACTCCTGGTATCAGACATTTGTTGTCTAGCTTCAATTAGTAGGTGACGTAGATGCTACAAGTACTCTTGAATCCCACCTGTGCTTCGATTGAGAAATTTCATAATCGTATAGAGGATCATGACTCTTCGTTCCACGCCTTTCTTGGCCAGTTCCGATTGACAGAAGAATGTCGGGGTGTTCATTGGCCACATCAGGCCACAGTAGCTGCGCCTCACTACGAACCAAGCGGACTGGATTGTTATGATACAGGGCGCCGTCAAGGTATGTCCGTTCCGTCGGCTCGTGTATGAATGGTTTGAAGTAGGATGGTGCGGCCGACGTTGCCGCGGCAGCTTCCCAAATCTGCAACTCTAGATTTGGGTCGTCTGGCCTGAGAAAGTCGTAGTACAACTTGCGTTGCTTCTTTCGCACATCGTCTCTGCGATTGTAATTTGCAATCACGATGGCTCTCTTGCCAGACCCATCCGTCGCGGTCACGGCGACCTTTGGTGCTGGTGCAGTGGTTGCTTTGCCATCACTGCCGAAGAGAGGTTGGTCCCCAAAAATGTCCTTCAAGACTTCTCGCAGCGGAGTGGTTTCGTATTTCGAAGCATGTCGAAGGGTGACAAAGTGCCTCAAAAATGAAATGCTTTGCAATTTGCGCTTCGAGAACGCTTTATCGCACAGATTGAGGAACGTCTCAGTGCACTGCTTGATGGACCAATTCTTGACACCAAATCCAAGAGCGATGATACCGCCCGTGCTCGTGAAATGTTAGCAGAATCTCGTCAATCTTGCAAAGTCCACAAGCTAACCTAGTACCCACAATCAGGTCAAAGAAGGCCTGTATTGGGATATGATCGCCAAGCTGCTTTTGCACAGCTCGAAGCACTTCGAGCTCTACAATACCACGCATACCGCCTCTGCTTAAGTTAGCGCCGGATTCCATTAGGGTCCAAATCCAGCTGGACAGAGCGTTCGACTGCTCAGAAAGAGCAGACGGAGCTAACAATGTAAACTGGCACTTACCCATCGAGCGACAACAGGCGCACACCAGCATGTTCGGGTTTGAACCGGACGTAATATGGGCTTGGCCAAATGTCCAATTCAGAATGGAGAGGACAAAACTCCATATCGAGGACACTGCTGCTTTTCGATGATCCGCGGACAGCAACGCCATAGGAACGAACACATCGTGAGCAGAGAGTATGGCCGCACGGTAGCGTATGCAGAGGTGCCTGTATGAGGCAACACAGACAGGTCGTATGACTGATAAACTTGTCTGCAGAGCCCAGCGCATCATACAGTCGAGTCATTCTTTTGCTGTGAATGTCATTCAGAAGCTCTTCTGCCGAGACCGTTTTAGCATCGTCTGACGACACACTCTGCAACTCGTTATCGAACTCTACGAGAGCTTTGCGAATTTCGTCTCTCCAGATCGGCCAGAAGCGCTCAGGTTGGATTTTCGACCTGAAACGGCCGTCCCCGATCCACTTACCTTTGGTGTTCTGGTGCCCTTTTGGAAGGTGAGCGGACGCGACATTGACACAGACCTCTTTTCCGCACTTGTACTCGCATGGTGTGTACAAATCACAGAACTCCTCAAGCGCTTCACTGCACGAGTCCTGGTACTCAGCAAACATGTCTTGCGGGCGTCCTGGGTGTAATCAGAATGAGCGTTCGATGGTGAGGGTTTGATTTACCTTTTCGATGTCGAGTACAATCCAGCATGATGCATGAAGCCACCAGATCGCCTAGAAGGTGAAATATTCTCTCGCTTTTCATTGCGGGAAATCGTGATCGAATGGAGAGGGCAAGTTGAAGTATGTGACCTTTGAAGTCCGTGGGTATTGGGTTGTGCTTCAGGGATACCTTCATGAAGTTGAAAGGATCTACAAGACCACTTGGAAGTGCGAAATGTGTGTATGCTGACTGAAGGTAGATGTCTAGCTCATCTGCATGCAACAACATCCGTGCCTTCAATTTGGCTTGAAACGAAGAATCGCAAGCGTTAGAGATCACTTCGTGGAGCTTCCAGATTTGCTCCTCGAGAAGCTGGTACCGTCCTTTGGTCGGTATTCGTACAACAGTGAAGGTTGAGTAGTAACAGCAGATTAGATCGAGGACGTTATCAATCTCCCGTCCTTTGCTTCTCCAGTCTTTCGCAACTTTGATGAAGTCTCGCTGTCCATTAAGAGCGTCCAGGCAGTCTTCATTCGCGCGCAACAGACTTTCAGTAGCCTTCGATACATCCCACTCGTCGGATGACACTCCTATCTCTGTGTTGTTAAGCGCAATGATGGCATGTGGAAGGGTTGGTTGATTGACAGATGTTTCTAGCGATGCTTTGCCCCATTCTAATAACAGGCGCAGTGCGGTAGTCTCGAACGTTCTTTGGAGATGTTAGCTATGATGGGGAGGTGTCAAGCAGGGGTTGGGTTGTACGGACTTAGAATCGCGTAGTACGAACACAACGACATCTGAGAAGGTGTATAGGATCCGCGGATACAGGTGTCTCACTGCATAAGATCTGGATCTTTTTTCATCCCCGTTTGCCCATTGTAGTAAGCGCGGGCGACCTGGAGATAGTCGGTCGCATTGAATGTGGCCGTTCGTAGCGGATGCTCGATGGTCAAATGCACCTAGTGGTGGCTTTTCCCCGCCCTCGAAGCCCTCACAATCTGCGTACAGCAAAGGTGTTCTGTCATGATGCAATACAGGGTCCACATATAGGTGGACATCGGCGGATGTGGGCGTGTGCGCGTGCAAGTTGGACCCGGCGATAGGCGTAGGATACGAGAGCGAGGCATTCAATTGTTCTTCTTTGCCGCGGCGGATCAACATCTTGATCAACGTACTCTTTCCCGCGTCTGCCAAACAGTCAGAGGAATGTAGATGATGGGCTTCCGAAGCTGCCTACTTGTTTGCCCAACAAATGACGCCAACTGCGGGTATCTTTTCGTGCGATCAATCGTCGACGATGGTCCGCTCGTGACGGTAGAGAACGTGTCATAGTCGACGAATAGCGGTTGCCCATTCTTGTTCCGACGGACGCCTGTAAGAACGTTAGTCACTCCTATTCTCCCCAAAAACTGGGCAATAGACCGCACCAAACCAGGTCGTGGACAAGTCGTCGCCAAGTAATTCTTCCAGCTGTTCTTCATCATAGTCTGGCTCGAGAATGCCTCTCAATTTCGTGAATATCTGGTGTTGCGTTCTCTCATGCTCCAGGCCATCGCGTCCTTTCCTGTTGTTGGTGTGCGGCTGATAGAGCGGCCAGCATGGTTTGCACAATCGGGTAGCGCAATCAATGCAGTAGTAGACTTGGGAAGAGCCCTTTGGGCATCCATCGCGCTCACACTCGCCAGCTCGTCGCTCGGTCGACAACATTAGATAGTACAAGTACAGCTGGCGCAATATTATGCAGAAGCATAAAGAAAAAAGAGAGGGAGGAAGGGAAGTATGGCGGAGAATGAGATCAGGAAAGAAGCATGGACTGGGAGAAACTCAGCCTGATGCGAACATGCATGTAAGCAACAGGTCGCAATAGCCCCCGCATTATGACCATACCCCTGGACGCTACATATTATCCAGTACGTCCTCAGCCTGATGTGTGGGAGCAGTCCCTGACAAATGGGTACGGCGAGAATCAGCCTCTGTGCCTGACCGGCACAAAGTTTCCTCGACTGGCAGTCAACTGCGACATACGTGTATCGAATTTACACAGCATGGCGCAGCAACCAAACTCGAAACCGCTCGATTGACAGTCGCCCCAGCCTATTGATGCGGACCATCTCTCTGCGATGACGGCGTGGAGGTGTTGTGGTGCAGATGGGTGAGGCGAAGTTGGAGGACCATCCGTTTTCAGCGTACCGGTACCGGTACAGCCGCGGAGCAGTAGCGAGGGGAAGCGAGGCATGCACGAACATCTAGAGTGGCCTCAAGTTAAAACCCTTCGACTCAGGAGGCAAGTTAGCAGCAAAGCTGTTGATTGTTTCCGTTGAATATGCAAATGGTATAATGCCCTGCTCCAAGATGCTAGAACTCCTGCAATGATAAACCCGCTTAAGCTTGCTGACCAATGCTTCTGTCATTAATACTCCAAGCAATGCTATTTCCTCCAATGCGACGCCTTCCAGACAGTACCAGAAAAGGACTGAGTAAAAGTAACAGGACGATCTTGGGACACTCGAAGATCAATGCGAGGGCGGTCCTGATGTGGTGTAGGGCCAGATAGGCGCCCTTGGTGACTACATCGACAGTCGAGGCGAGAGGAACCTGGTAATCGAGAACGAACTGTACTGCGAACAAGCTGATGGACGGAAGCCACCTGCTATGTGTCAATCGAGCTGTCTGTGCGCATAGAGCGAGGTGAAGGAAAAAGACAGTGGGGCGGTGAGTGCGACTCACTCACTCCCTGATCTGCGCCTTCAGTCCTGCAACCTCCCTCTTGAGCCTCGCATTCTCCTTCCTCAGCCTTGCCGCCTCTTCCTCGCTAGCCCTGAACCGGCGATCGAATTCCTCACCGACCTTGCCTCGGCGTACACTGCTTGTTGCCTTTTCGAGCTCCTCGTTGAAGCGTGCGTACAATGCCTCGTTCTCGGCGTTCGAGTCACGGTAGAGCTGGTCGAGCTGTTTGACGCGTGCCTCGGAGACTTGAAGAGACGTGGTGACATCTGCTGAGATGGTGGTCGCACGAGTCGACAGGGCATCAAGCGTTGCCTTGCACTGCTTCTCCAGAGCCGCTATCCGAGCTTCCAGTGTCATAGACTGTGCTTTGCTAGGCGTGCCCGAACCCAGCGAAGGAGCAGAAGTTTGGGGGTGGAGGCGCGGGGTGCTCTTAGCATTCAATTCATTGCCAATGTCGGCCAGAACGTTTTGCAAGTCTTGCGATGCGCTTTCGATGTCTTTCTGCTGGGTCTGCAGTCGCTCACGCAGCTTCTGTGGTGATTGCATACGAAGTCTACGCGGGGTGCCTGTCGAGACCGTCGAAATGGTGCCGGTAGTACTGCCGTTGAGGACTGGTGCGGGTGCAACAGCTTTGATGGGGGAGCGAGGTGTGGACGGAGGTAGTCTGACCGGGTTCCCGGAGCCTGTACGTTCGGACAAACCGGCAATGGAACCAGAGATCGGCCGGAGAGAAGGTATCGCAGTGGTGGACTCTCCACGCCGTCTGGAGTGTCCCGATGTTGATTGTGCAAAAGACTTGATGGTGACCTCATCTTTGCTCTCCCGTCTAGGAGTGGATGGTGTAGGTGGCTGGACGCTGCCCCTGCGAGTGAAAGTCTGGAGGGGTCTTGACTCAGGCTGTATGCTGCCTCTTCTTGCAACCGGCGGCGCAGGCTGCTCGTTCTCTTTCCTTATCATCGGCGAGCCCAATCGCATGGGACCTGGAATGGAGGATGTGTGTTTGTGAGCAGACACGGCGGTGCGCAAGGGCGTGCGCGGAGGAGAAACACTCTCTCGTTTGTCTCGGCTCTCTCGCTTCCTCGGCATAGTTGAGTCGGGCCTACGAGGAGTCTGCGATGACCAAGCAGGTGCGTCGTCGACTTGAAAGTTGAGCTCTTTGAGATCACTTAACGATGAGCGGCGCTTCCTGCGGGACTGGACGGGGACTGCTAGCTTGGAAGGTGGGATCTCGTTGATGGCCCCGAGGAAAGAGCGGTTAGTCTGACTTCCACTGTCATACTGGAAGGCGCCGAGGACTGTTGGACGATCGCGTGAAGATGGTCGTTTCGGTGAGTGGCGGCCATTGTCGATGGAGTTGGATCGGCCGACTGACTGGCTTCCCTGCTTGGACACGCTGGCAGCGAAATTCTCTTGGCTATGACTGTTCTTGCTAAGTGATCGCCAGAGCGAGCTGACCTTCGATTCGTTTTCGGACTTGCTGTTTTCTCGCGACAAGTTGCCGAAACCGAATCGCCGTCTCAGAGAAGAGTTGACAGAGCCACCGCCGTTATGACGACTCTTCGAGTCCACGGATCCGAAGTTCGCTGTCAAGCCTGGGGTCTCGGCAGGGAACAGTGCATCCATGTCCTGGACGAGACGGTCTATCAATGATATGAAATCATTGGCGTTCCCGGCAGGCACAATCATCTCAGCGAACGCAGCTGTTAGTATGCCTCGATCTCCATCGTTGCTGGTACCATCTAGCAACTCCGCCAGTAGCTGAACAATGACTCGAGTTGCCCGTTGGTTGTGAGGTGCAAGATTGTTGAACGTTGCGCGGAAGTACTCCTCGAACTCTCCAGGGTACATGCTGTCTGACCGCATCTGCAGAGACACGAAAGTGGCGTGGGACAGAACTGGGCCCATTCTTTCTTTCCAAGCAACGTTGAGGAACTTGTCGAACACGGCGAAAAGTACGTCAATGGAGGACTGTGAGGCGAGGTCGAGATTGGAAGGAGCCTCCAGTAGCGAGTTGTACAGCTCATTGACCACAAGCTCATCTGCAACCACTCTGGCGCGAACGGACCTGCCCACGATGTTACCCTTGCGAGCTGACAGAGCCATAGTGATGTTCGCCAATGAGTCTTCCAGTTTTGTCAGAGAGTCCACTTGTTGCAGCTCTTCAAAGCCACTCCTTGACGAGGTTGGTCTTGAGCTGGGCCCATCGCGGCTCTGTGTACGCGTTGGTACGAGCTGGAGTGGAGGCGCCATGCGTGGGATGTCGCCCAAGGTAGGCGCATTGCGCTGAAGCCTTCGTCCGCTACCATCTCTGCCAACACTTGCGCCGAAGATGTTGCTGAGCGACTTCAGAGGGGAAGCAGGTCGACTCTTCCTTTCATTCCATTCTTCTAGATACGTGATCTGGAGCTTCAGCGACTGGAGAATCAGCTGGTTTCGTAAGAGGTAAGCCTCAGATAGAGCGGGGTTCTTGATGTTGTTGCGTTGTTGAAAGTAGTTCGCAAGTCGTTTGGTCAGGACAGGCAGGAACTCGACTTTGGTAAGCTTGTCCCGGGCAAGGTAGCCGTTCAGCCCATTGATGTCCATGAGGTAAAAGCCGTTGTCCAAGACGGAGATTTTGACGACCACTTCAATGCCATCGTAACCCACTTCGATAGGCTGTGAGAGCTTCGGCGCTTCAACCAGAATCTGGATCTTCGCAGGTTCTCGGCGACCCTCAGGGGGACCATCGACATTGTCCTCGGTGACAGAAGAGAACAAATTGAGATCACCAGGTCGGCTTCGCACCTCCCACTTGTAGCTCTCTCGTTCTGCCTCAGAAAAGCGTCCTTCGATTCTGGCTTTAGTGATGTCTTCGATAACTCTTTGCGCGCGGCCCTCATAAGCACCTTGCACGTAGTACATACGAATGCCGACATTTGTTCGATCTGGCGTCGGTGGTCGTCCCAGCTGGATTGTGCGAGGAGCTGGCGACAAGAGTTGGATTATACTGGATTCTGCGTGCTCGCTCACAAAGACTTCGGACAATCCGATATGCTGATAATAGACCAGCTCAGACTCGTCGGCGGCGTCGCTAAGCTTTGGGCTGTCCAAGTCAGTCATCAGACCGCGTGCACTTGTTGTGCAATCGTTCGGCTTGTGTAAGATCACGAGAAAGTCCGAGAAGAGGACGAAGATCCCTGGTATAGTCGAAGGACCGCTGAGCTCGCCATGATAGGGTGGTGCCAGTTCTACAACATCAATGGCAGTAATCAATCTCCCTTGAGGTCTGAATGATGTCGGCCATTGATACACCATCTTGCGCAGACGATCGACGATCTTCATCTGATGCGCTGTAGACCCCTCTCTTGAGCATATCTCGGAAATGACGTCTCTAGCCTTCAGGAACGTCTTGAGCGCTGGGTGCCTCACTGGGAGCTGCTTGACGATCTGGTCGATGTAGAGGCTGTAGCGAGGCAAACGTTGGACAGGCTCGATTAGTAATGATGTGAGTCGTTGTTCACCAGTCTCGTATACTCTCTTGGAAAAGCTGGAAGCAGGCTCTTTGGTGAAGGCCTTTAGCAGTTGTGAGAAGTCGCCATGTGCAGCCATGTAGTCAGTATAGCAATCGCCAAACTTGGGGAACCACTCGACGAGTGCTTTCGCAACCCGTGCTGCTCCAGTAACATCTGCCGGATCTTTCTGACCCCGCAGTGGAGCGATGAAAACGTCGTCTGTGGTCTCCTCGATATCCTGGATTGCGCCATTCTCGGTCTCCTCCAGGATGACACGCAGTTCCTCTAAGAAGTTCGAGTTGACCTCGAGAATCTTGTCCAGGCTGGGAGGGAACAAGCCTTGCAGCGTCTGCTCGTTGGGACTACTGCTCGAGGACGACCTATGCCTAGCCTTTTTGCGAAACTCGACTGCGACGTTGTTGACGAGATCGTGAACCTTGCAAACGTAGTTTTCCTCCGTGTCCAGCAGCTCACACATCTCACGCCTGAGCGACTCTTTTTGTTTCCTCGAGAACGACTGTGATCGACTGAGCTGACTGGCTTTCGATGGTGCGCGGCGAAGACGAGATGTGGGGAGGAAGGTGGACTCTCCGAAGAGTCTGATTACTGGCGCGTACGATCCATACTGCTGCTCGAGCGCATCGTCATCTGGCTCCTCGAACTGAGCCGATTCCCGCAGATCCGCCTTCTTTACACTTCCTCGCGGCAGCACGACATCCATGTCCACCCACGAGAGGCTTTGTTCTCCCAGTGCATGGCGCACATCCACGATGACGTCTCCCACGTTCTCGACCTTGACCATCTTGGCAGCGACAATAGCCGCGTGCTGCTCGGTGAACAGCGCAGGCGCCATGTGCATGTTGGCCCTCGTGCTGTAGCGGCGCTCCCATGCATTCTTCACTTCGGCGGGCAGCTCGACGAAGTACTTGTAGAGACTGAAAGCCAGCCCGCGGCATATCTCGTCGCCCTGCTCCTCGCGCGGCAGGCACGTGACGGCATTGTAGAACGAGGCGGTGGGCGAAATGATGAGCCGTGCGTAGCTCGACAGGCCGGCTGGGGTAAACACGTGGGTCTGGATGCGCGAGTTGGTGGTCGGCGCGGCAGTGGAGGTTGGCCCGTAGAAGATCAGGACGGGCGAGTTGGAGAGCAGCTCGTCTGTGGTGTGGAACAGCGACAGGTCCGCTGCGGGGAGGGCCGCGGGCTCCGGGTTGATGACCACGCCCATTTGTGCGAGCGGATGCGCCGTCGATGCGCCGTCGATGCGCCGGAACGAGTGACGGAGGTGGGATGTTACGCGGTGGTCGAGTGCGAGTGCAGCGAGTGCAGCAGTGGCATGAAGGCGATTGAAGGAAAGTACTAGGCCATGCAAACGGGGACGAAAGGAGCGAACGAGCGATCGGCGCGTGTTGCGAGCGTGTTGATGTTGAGCAGTGCGACCTGCAGGTGTTTCGCCTGTCAACGGGCGCTCTAGCAGTCTAGCCGTCTGGCAGTAAACAAGGCACGCAACGAACGGTGGCTGGCTGCGACGCCAACGCTGCACTCGAGCGCGCCGAGTCCGAAACAGGCGGCGACTAGCGCCAGCAGTGCAGGCGGAGCGAGCGCACAGCAGCGTGGACTAGAACAGGCCGGGCTGCTGGGATCTGGCTGGGATTCGAGGCGTCGAGTTGCTCGAGTCGAGTTGTCCTGGTGCCCTTGCAGCTGGCGCGGCCTCCGCCAGTCGCGCTGAAGATCCCGAGTCAAAACAAACACACGGCGCCGCTAGATACTTCGTAGACATTCTGGCGTCATCCCTCCCCCACCAGCTGCCCGCCTGCCTACCCCATGGCGACGCAGCAGTTCGACGGCGGCGTGCCCTTTGCCATTGCGGCCCCCGCGCAGAAGCTGCAGCTGCTCGAGCTGCCGGCCGACGTCGCGGCGCTGCTCGATGCTCCCAATCCCCCGCGGTGCGCGCTCCCAGCTCCCGTCCCGCTGCGTGGATCGCCTTCTGATCTTCTGGCGTGCACAGGCTCTCAATCAAATCCAGCGCCGCCGCCAACGACCGGCCTGCATATGCGGTGCTCTGTACGCCCAACAAGACCTTCCACCTGCGCCAGGTCCAGACGTCCAATTCGCTTTTCGTCACCCAGCCCCAGCAGCTCGATGCCCATGGCAACGACATACCTCTTGCAGCCACATGCGCCATAGCGTTGTGCCCCGCGACCCTGGAGCTGCAACCCTCGGATGCCTCCGCTGTCGCTCTGCTGCACGAGGTGCTGCCCGTGTATGACATTGTAGCTGGCGACGTCGATGCCACGGGCAACGGCGAGAGCAAGGACCACGTCTTTGAGAACCTTCCCTTGTCAGACGCACAGTGTCAAGCAGGCTGGAACGAGCTGATGGCATTCGAGCTCGATCGAGACACATACAGGCCCTCTGCGAACTCATTGGCACAGGTGTGGAAATCCATCCATGCAGCAGCACTCGCCGAGGGCGTCAAGCTTGACAGCCAGTTCTTGACTGAAGACATTGCAACAGCAGTAGCTGACGTTGGGCATCCATCAAACTTCACAAAGGCCGTGCTCAGACATCTCTCCAACGACGAGCAAGACAATTCTGGGTCATGGTTGTGCCTCGATCGAGCAAGAACTGTTGCCTTTGTCGGCAAAACACTGCTCGAAGCCAAGCAGGGACCCAGCGACTTCCTCATCGCCGACTTTACAGACACATGGGAGGACAGATTGCCCGAAGCATGGCGAAAAGATGCGACACTCGGTGCCATCGAAGGGTCGTACGAGTTACCCTCAGACACCACAATCAGGGTCAAGAGCAAGGATACCGCAGCCGCAAACGTGCACGACGCAGCTGCAGCAACCAAACCGTCCGCGAGAAAGTGGCACGAGAAATTTGCAAAGACTCGAAAGAAATGAGAGTCTGCTGAGAGAGTCGTAGAGTGAACAGTGCCACGACAGTGCCACGCGATGAGTGGTGGCGCGACCAAAGAACGTGGCCTCACAGACGTTGACATTACGACTTGGTGGATGTGCCCCCTTTATGGTACGATTCGATAGTCTTCATCGTGGCCTGTCGACAACGAATGACATAATCCCACAACAGCCTGGTAAGGCTGAACGTTCCGTGGTTTGGCAGCTGCCAAACGCGTCAACGTGGCGCGCACGCGCTCTAGCGTGTCATCGGCGTGTCGGCATCTTTTTGCGGAGCGGCAGACTCGGCTTAGTCAATGCTGGCCTCGGGAAATTGGTAAGCTGCGGTTGGCCACAGCAAAAAGTGCCAAAGTGTTGAGCTTCCCAAAGAAGACTACCATATCAAGTTCGTACTGTTCATGCAGCCCAAATCCTCACGTTCTAGTCATCCCCTTGATCGTCTGTCCAGCGTTCTGAGCGTACTGCATGAGCCTTCTCCGTGCCCTCCGGCCTCTCCCAACGGCAAATCGCCTCTTCCAAAGTTCCGCAAAACGAGCATTCAGCACCAGTTTCATCCTCAAGAGCACGGTCCAAACACTTCACACAATGGCCACCACCGAACCAACACTTCCAGAAAAGACACCCGTACCCACAACCCCCTCAGAGCCATCCCTTCCTAAGCTTTCCCAACATGACTTCCGCATCTACAACCGCATGGCAGAGCATATGGACTACTTCCACAACCACTTTCGCGAGACTTGGAACGTTCTGTATGCCGCCTGCGAGACGGGAAAGAGGAGTAAGGGTATGAGTATCCGACAGTTTATTGCGCTGGGGCAGCAGTTTTGCGCGCAGTTGGAAATGCACCACGGGATTGAGGAGAGGTACGGTCCCGTCATGCACCTCGACTTCTCTTGAAGCCCATGGTTGGATCTTCGACGCTAATGTCCATCTTTGCAGGCACATCTTCCCCGTTCTGGCGAAGAAGCAGCCCGCCTTTAAGAAAGAACTGGAACTTCTCACGCAGCACAAGCAGATCCACAACGGCCTTGACAAGTTGACTAAGTATCTGGATGAGTGCAGTAGCGGCGAGCGCGAGCTGAGGTTACCCGAGTTAAAGGAGGTTTTGGACGGCTTTGGGAAGGTGCTGTGGCAGCATTTGGACGATGAGGTAAAGGAGCTGGGCGCGGAGAATATGAGGAAGTATTGGACGAAGGAGGAGATGGTGAGGATGCCTATGTGAGCGCGGCTATGAAGCACAGTATGAGCCTGGAATTCAATGATGTCGAGGACCTATTGATTTGTTTTTGCTTGGTCTTTAAGTACATCTATAGGATGAACAAACAGCTGACAACGTCTAGGGTGGTGAGAGGAGAAGGACCGATTTGGCTAATGTCTTGGGGTCGCTGAAGGTACGACCAGGCTGTTTACAAGACCACCACTAGCTTCCTTTGCGATTCCAGATCGTGTCCAGTGAGTATCGCTGACGTGCATAGTGCTTGAGCCAGACCGATACACAAGAGCACGCTCAAATTATGCAAATAGGCGATATTTGTCTATAGCGTATCGCATCTAACAATTGTTGCAACAGCGGGATCTGATTCTATGCACGGTTTACCTGGGGTCTCATCTATCGCACACGGCTCACTGCTACCGTCCGAAACGATAGGTTCTTTGCGCCTGACGCTTGTTCCAGGCACCCGGGGACTCACAGACGTCATTTGCTCTCCGTGGGTCACTCGCGCCTGGACCTTCCAGGGAGGCTTCCTCTCGAATAGACGCCTGTTCTTTACGGACCGACAAGTCATATTTATGTGCGATAGCGGACAACTTTCGAGGGAACGGATTACAATAAACACAGATCAGAATACAACTATGCCGTGGGCTGGCTACCGATCCGTGACGAATTCACTAGGAAGAACGATCCGCTATACAGTGCCACGTACTACCGTGTGTAGTACAGTAGACGCACTCTATCCTATGACACCAACGCACTCAACGCTATCGCTGGTGCTTTGGATGCCCTTGGAACTGACTTGGTTTACCACATTTGGGGAGTACCTTGTGGCCATCCCAGAGCGCAAGAGAGTGGCATTGCGTTGCTATGGCACCACGGCGGTGTCATTTTCGCAGAAAGGGTTTCCCGGATTGGGTTCCGCTGGGATCGAAGGGCAGCAGCATTTTGTGGCGCGGCATGTCTTCGAAGTGGCGGGACGAAGCCACCGCTTCAATGAACGGTATCAGCATCTAGACGGCTGATGGTATTCTTCCACTCCAAATTTATGAGCCCGATCAGAACCACGATCTAGCTTTTCAGTTCCTTGAGCTCTCGAACGACATGGCCAATATACATGTCGTCAAGTTACCAGAAAACGCTGTCGACGCGAAACAACAGTATGGTATTGCTGTTCTATTGACAGGCAACTCCAACTCGTCAATAGAGTCGAGCAATATGTTCCTCCAGCGGCCCTGGAGGGCATGTTTGTCAAAGCGATCATCATGCCCATGGCAGAACCAGTGCCCAAAGCGATCAGGAACCCCTCAGATTGCTTGCTTCTGGCACGACCAGTAGAACATGATCATCGATACGGGAGAATTGGAATTGCCTGGATTTCTCACGACCCAAGTCATCTGTGACAAGACCGGATCAAAGCGCCCTCAAAAATCGATAAAACTCTAGGTGTCTAGTACCACAGCATTTCTAACAGGCGAACCCAAGTCTGTAAAGGATAAGGTCTGGTTGTACAACCAGCAGGTGCGCTAATCAAACGGCACGCAGTCAAGCGAGGCCTTGGCGGCTGGGGCGACCGACATTGATGTCATCAGGACTTCGTTGTCGAGCCTTTTAGATGGTACAGACCCTGATCAGTCACATGGGTGCCGCATTTTAATAGTGAGTGCGCGAGCATACAAGATGAGGAACCAAAGAGAGAGCACAGCTCGATGACGAATGAAACCACCTCAAGGTTGACAGAAGCTTTGGATACTCTCTGGAATCCTTGCCGGGGACTGTCTTCTTCCGAGCTGGAGTCTCTTGGAACTAGCGAAGGGATTAAAGGTACTTGTCTATAGGCTCTAATGGGAGAAGAAGAGTAGAAGCACAAGTTCAATTGTATCCTATTAATCAGATGTACAGGGGAGAGCTTTTAGTGGATTGGAATGCTGCGTCCCGGGTCTTACGTCTTTGGCCACTGGTCTGGTCGAAAGTTGAAAAAAATCGACAGTGCCGAAGACAAGGGTTGTCACTGTGTTGAGGGAACGGAGATTCGGCACACAAATGAAGGCAAGCCATGGGAGTGCCCGAAAAGTCTTTCTTTCTCCTAGAAAAGAGCATATGAGACGACATATCAAAGACTACAGGAAAATGATGAAGCTGCTCATTTCCTTTCTCTATGCTTGATGCTGCTGTCGCTTGCTGAGATTTGGTACCACTGTTTCATCGTCTCGCGTCGGCTCCCCATCGGCATCTCCATACTACCACCTATTAATATACCCAATATCAAACACCGCACTCCTGGAAACAACACCAGAATTAGCAGTCGTGCCTCAGGGTTATTGACTCTTGTCTCAAGACCGCGCGGCGTCGTGCCACTAATGTTAGAACCCACAAGTTAGCATTCTGCACGGGTGCTATGCGACCATTGCACACTGCAGGGCTGATAGTACTTCATGTTGATCGTACTAATCGTACTTGCGTGGCAAGCTGCAGTGTATAGAGGATGTTGTACAAGATGTGAAAATATTTAAATAAATCGATTGCAGCGCTAGTAACTTCAAGCGACTCCAAGGCCGCGTAGCAAATGGTATGCCCCCCCCAAAAACGCCTCGCTGTGATATTGCACAAGTTATACAATCTCCCCGGTGACCCTTTTCTTCATGCTCAAGAATCTTCTGGGACTTCTCAACTCCCAATCCAACTCTGGTGTCCAGTTGCCATCTGCTCTCAGCGTGTCTCGCAGACTTGGTGCTGTGACGACGCTCGGAAGGCCGATGGACAGTCCAGTACCGACACTGATACCGTCAACGCTGTCGCGTGCGCTGACACTGGGGGTGACGCTGGTTCGGAAGGAGTGGACTGTAGTGACTGGGCTTAGGGATTCCAGGGGAGATGTTGGCGACTCGAGTTCCTGCCATGGCCCACCCAAACGCGTTACTATGCGCCGCTGTTCACTGTCGCGCCAGCGGGACCTTTGCTCTGCGGCTGTTGGAGATTCGATGGGTAACACGTCGGCTTGGATTGCTGGTAGTGCAGGTGCTTTGGACTGACGCTTGAAGAGAGACTGTAAGAGAGACTGGCGTTTGCTCTTTGTTGGAGATATGGGCGATGTGTTAGGTGTTGTGTGCGCAGATTCGGTATGTGTGTCTGGCGAATTAGCCAAAGAGACGGGCGTCTTCTCAGGATCGTGAACTCGGATAGTCGGTGTACTGGTGTCAATTGTCAGGCCAAAATTAGGCGTGGTTTTCGCCGCAACTTCCATGCCGCTATCTTTAACAACCTCCGAAGCTGACGTTGGTCGTGAGTCTTGCATCTCGACATCATCCAGTTGCTGTGACGAAGAGTACGATCCAACACCCTTGGCGCCGTTGGGAATATGGTAGCGCAGATCTACACGCAGGATCGCGTACATCAAGACCGTTTGTATCTCCACAAAAAAGTTGAAGATGTAGAACGGACTTTTGCCTAGATAGCCAGGGAGGGGCTGAGAGCGCGGAATTAGAGGAGCCCATATGCTGCCACATCTATACCAGGCACCGATAGACAGTAATGTAGTACTGACAAGCAGTACGATGACTTTCGTTCGCAGCCGCCCAGCACCAAATCGATCTGGTGGCGAGTACGGAATTAGGAGCGAGAGAATGACGATAGGAAGCGGAAGTGTGGCGATAATGGCGAGGAATGTTGAGCCGTAGAGTTGGAGGCTTCGATCGGTAGCCTTCGCTCCCGGATCTAGAGTAAAAAAGCTTTGAACTGTACCTGCGATGATCATGATGATCGTTGCTCCAGTGAGAATACACAGCAATCTGAAGATGATTCCAAATGCAGGATGCCACCCCAGCCTTGGGTGCAGTGACCTTACGAGACGCATAGCGAATATCAGATTGATGATGAAGATGATGAGGACTCCAGCGGCGACAAAGATAGACGCTGCGATAGCAAGTTCGACGTTTTGAGACTGTGCTGTCGATGCAAGGCGAAGTATGGATGTGAGGACACGTGATACGCAGAAGACTGTATGAAACATCAGCAAATGTGGCCCGGATACATGGTATGATTACGCACAGAAGATGAAGAGATTAAACCAGAACCTGTGTCCTCTTGCTCTGTTTTTCTGGAAGATTTTCATGTGGATAGCTGCACCGATCATGAATAGGAACAAGAACACAGTCTGCGCGGGTATGTCGACCTCCTTCACGGGTGCTCCACCCAGCGCCCATGCTGTTGGTGGATATGGTGGTTTCATATTTGCCTACAGCCTGTTAACTTTTATACTATCTCGAAGTTACTGCTCTTTGAAATACCATTGAAGGAGGCATGCCACCTGAGGACGCCATCGTATTGAACAATCAACCTTCGAAGACCAGATTTTCGACTGTTGATTGGGTGCAGGCGATTCATTCGACGAGAAAGAACAAACGATGGATGTGCAAAAGTCGCATGCGTCGCAGGGGCGCAGCTTCCCATATAAGTCCCGCCACACTATTATGACCGATGTGAAGCACCCGGGACCCCTAACAAGTCGATACCAGACGAGGCAATGTTTTCTAAGTGCAGGCGCTCTTGTGTTTCGACATGTCCGTAGTGGTCGCACTAGCTGTGCGACTATCGGGTCGTTCTTAGTGCGAAACATGGAACAGCACCAGCCGAGTGAGCCGATACTTCCTATCAGCAACGACTTGGAAGGCAGACCAACAAAGCGAAACCAAGTTGTTATAGAGATCCATTGCAATTGTGAATGAGAGTCTGCTGGACCAGCAGCGCATCCTACTGCGCGGGTTCGCTCTGTGACTGCACATACTTGTTGGCCAACTTTGAGCTGCGGTACCGACAAACACTGTAAAGGAGCCTTAAATGAATGTTTCTGCCACTGTACTACGAAGTAGAGCTGCACACTAGCCGGCGAACCATCGAATCCTGAGTTTTAGTTGCCCGTGAATGCACTTAAGCCAGACCGGCTGTCACAGGTCGTTAAATGCACCTTGGAATGTTCTCAGAATCTACAAGGTCTGCAAAGACAATGAGCGGGACGAGAGAATATGAGACTGTGATATTTACCGGATAGATACTTGTATGTTGCACGTTTTGCAGAAACGCTTAAATGTAACGCACTGAACCCGTGGCACCACGAGCGTCCCAGAGTCCATCACTCCTTTCCAGTCCACTGTACTGAGGGCAGAGCTCGCCACTCACACTGTCAGATCGCCCCGCCGCATCGAGATCACACATCGCACGTTCAAAATACCGTTCAGCTTCGATTTGATCATGTGCGCGCCCTGTCGCTGCTGTACATAGCCACTGGGGAGTAATTTGCTCGTGACTCTCATCAAACTCGAGGCTGGGTGTGCGACTGTATGTGACCTTCTCATCAGCATCACCAGCACTGCCTGAGCTCGAACTCTCGGGTGTGCGTCTGCTCGGTGCCGTCACGATGGACAATTGACTGCGCACAAGGTCGTCGTATCGTTGCACCTGAGATTGGCGACGCTCTCTCGCTTCCTTCTCCCTTGTCACCTTGAAGACTTCTGCAACGGCGTGCTGCAATAATGGCAGCGATACAATTGCCTCGTTGGTCGTCCCAGCAGCCTGGAGGGCTGCAGTATGCAATTGCGATTCTGTCATGATGAGGCCACTGTGCTGATGCTCGATAGGGGGCGCGGGCAAGTAGCCGGAAGTCAAGACAAGTCCGCCATTATTGCAAACGCTTTTCTTCGTCCTAGGTCTGTTGCTGGCACGCGGCTTGTTCCATTTCGTTGGATGCTGTATATGGAGCTCCACACCGACAAAGCCATCCGATCCTGTGGCGAGTTCGGATCTTGGAGACGTGCTGCTGTGCGACCCTTTGGACTTTGCGGAAGAGACATGAGCAAATCGCTCGCGCAGCAGCAACGCTGGTGAGCCAGACTTGACACCTCTGACCGGCGATAGCTTTCGGACACGATGGCCTTGAGATCGTCCCGCTGAATTCTTGAAAAGTGTTGCTGACCGTATTTGGCTGTCTTCGATGGGGTCAAGAGCAGCGACAGGAACGACAAAGATGTGGTCGGCGTCCTAAAAGTAGGGTGTCAGTACGGGCCGACTGTACCTCTTTACTGAACATCATCTCACACGCGGTAACGGTAGACCATTTGAGGACGTAGTTCGTAGCAGAGCGAGTTCGTTCACAGGCAAGTGCCGCCTTCTCCGAATGCGTGAGACCTGGCGCGGCTGGTTGGGCGGCTTGTTGATTGCTGTAATTGATGTTCGTTCACCAATCCGTCGCTGATCTTCTGGTTCGGCACGCCCGCGGTCTTCCTGAGACCTGCTGTTGGCGTGGTCCGCTAAGCGATGACCTTCTGCCGCGAGCTCTGGTGGTTGCGGCGATGATGAGCGGACCACGTCAGGGACTGTAGTATTATCTGCGGTTTCTTGATCTGGAGCACTTTTTGCATCAAGCAAGCCAGGGCCTTGCTGACATGAAGGCTCGCCATGACAGATTCCGAATAAACGACGTTTGAATCGTGTGGGACGCTGAGGTATGCCATCAGCGACAATACGTAGAAACGCGGAAAGGCGTAACCGGTCGCCGAAGAAGTCAGCTTCCTGAGTCATCTTCAGTTAGTGAAATAGCTGTAGTCAGCATCGATCGATCATCGCGACACACTGTCGTAGCGTAGCGGTTTGCTTCAGCTGGTTGTGGTGTGTACAACATCACGAGTGACGACAGACGCACAGACCCATAGCGGTAGCGTTTCGGCGTTTCTCATCTCGAGACCGCCCGCGCTCCACAAGCGCAACAACGCGGAGCTGAGTTGCGCGACTTCTAACGATGCACCTCACAAACACATTAAGGACAGATCTTGAAGATGTCGCTGTTGTCAATTTCGAGATGGCCAATTGACGACGCAGGTGTGCCTGCCATTGATGGCGCAGAAAGTTTTGCAGACCTGGTAGACAAGCTGAGCCAGTGAGTCCGAGGTAATTGAAGAATCGCAGCAATAGCTAAGATGCAGCTAGATATTTTCAACACACCATCAACCTCCCGCACAGCTTCGAAGACTATCGCACAAGCCAGCATGGCCGTGCATTACATCCTCTGATCGACCATCTCTCGAACCAGGTACACCATCCCGCGTTGGTGTCAGCCCTCCTGTACGTTGCGCGACCGCGGCACGCACGGCACAAATGCCGTAAAGGAAAGATAGAGTGCTGATATCGATCAGGGCTCTCAAAGGTCACTTTTCCGCTCTTGAAGAAACAAGTGACGAACCTGGCGTCAATCAAGCCAGAGGCTATGCCTGCGAGTTCGTCGCTTGGCAATTCTTAAACAGCCTCACCGATCGAGATGTCATAGACTTCTTACTGCTCGAACTGCCGCCCACACCATCTCCCGACAGCGAGCCTTCTTCGAGACCAGCCGACCATAGCCACCAGAACGGCCAGCGCACCGTCCAATCCAACGAGCGAACGCCTTTGCTTGATGTAGCCAACAGTGATTATTTTGGTACAAGGAGTGATGATGCTACAAACCCGAGGTTTGGATCACTGAAGAGTCGATGTGAGAATCTCTCAGCATTAGAGATTGCAGCAGTAGGTGGTGCAAAGAAGTTCCTAAGCCAGCGGCCGATACAAAAGGTCATCAATGGGCTGTGGCGTGGCGACATCGTGTTCTGGGAGACGCTCAGCGTCAATTCTGTGAAACGTCCAAGAAAGTACAATCGCAAACAGACCGACCCGTTCTCGCGTCTGCGTGTGCCTCGATACTTGAAGGTATTTGAGACACTCTTCTTTGCAATATTCTTGGCTCTCTACTATGCGGTATTGGTGCGCCGAGACCAGGAAAGAGTCACCATTCCCGAGATACTACTGTACGTGTGGATAGCCAGCTTCGCGTACGATGAGTTCGCCGATTGGGTCGATGCGGGACAGACCAGTTTTTACGCTTCTGACTTCTGGTGGATGTGGGACATCAGTATTGTTGTCGTCGGTATGACGTTCTGTGCTCTCCGAGTAGTGGGCTTGTCGAATGGTGAAATGGATACTATTGACCTTGCTTACGACGTACTCGGATTGGAAGCCTTGTTCCTGGTGCCAAGAATATTCAGCCTCCTGAGCTTAAACCCGTATTTCGGAACCCTCGTGAGTCGTAGATTGGTCGCTGCAGAGAGATCGTGTACTAACTTCACACTAAGATCCCATGCTTGAAGGAGATGGTAAAATCAACCTGTACGACGGCTTGCATGCATACCAATCTAATTCGTGAAAGACCAAGGATTTCGTCAAGTTCCTATCGCTTGTCCTCATACTGTATTTGGGTGAGTGTCCGACTGCTGACTGAACTCTGTGAGACTACACTAAGCCTCTGACTCAGGCTTCCTGACGACTTTCGTCCTGCTAGCCCGGGAGACTTTCAAACCCCAGGAGATGGTAAGTAGCATTGGGTCTCCCTTGTTGCCTTAAACTAACAATCCTGCGTTAGAGCTGGATCTTGATCAAAGTGTTTTTTGGGTAAAAAACTTACGACCAGAAACCTTTTTGATCTCTGCTAATAGTTGCCTGTAGATCAAGCTACCTTGGCTTTGGTGAGTCCAAGTTGCAATAGTCATCTGCTCAGAAGCGCACTGACAAAGCTGCGCTATAGACGTTGCTCAAGAAATGTACGAAGTGAGGAAATTGTTGTTTGAAAGCTGGCTGCTAACAGCAAACAGATCGCCCTTCTTTGGCCCACCCGTTATGGTGAGGCTCCCGCACAAGACTTCGGTGTATACTGTTCTAACCGCAAGTATAGCTCATCTTCATCATTTTGACGAACATCCTTCTGATTACCAGCCTAATCTCCCTCTTGAGCAACTCACTCAGCAAGGTAAGCTTTGTCCAAAAAATCATTGGCTCTCGTTGCCCGATCTTTCGGTCTTGGCGCCGTTGGTTCCATGTAGCGTTTTCATTTGTCAACACGCAAGTCCGAACAAGACAGCCATTACTGGATTCCTCAGCATTCGAGGCAGACTTTCCAATTTTAGCGTTGGCAAATAACCGCCTTTCACGTCAAGTTATGCAGTGCCCATGAACGATGGCAGGGCCAGGGACACTGCACACCCTATCGACAATTTTTGGTCAATCAACAATACACACAAGATATCGCTTTCTAGCTTTGCTTGTTGTTTACGTACTCTGCTGACAATTGCACAGATCTTAGAGCATGCGCGTGACGAATATCTCTTCATGTCAGTACCTTGTTCGATTCTGCGGAGCTCACTGATGACGCCATCGCAACAGCTACTCCGTTTATGTTCTTGAAGCATCGTCTTCAAATCGATTGACTTACTTCCTGCCACCGCTTGTGAGTACTCTACCTCTCTTTGCTATGTGCAGACCTTGAAATGTGGTTTAAGCGCCGGGCCGCCAATAAGGCCGAGAGCATAGCCTCTGCCGTTCGACAAATACAAATCATGTACCACACCATTTGGAGCTCCTTGGTACTAGGAGGATCAACAGCATGCGTTAGGTGGCTGTATCGCTGGCGTGCTGGTATAGCGCATTGAGCAGCCTTGCGCTGCCGCCCAGGCTGCCTCAAGCAAGCGGGCCTGCTTGCGATCAGGATCACACCGAAAAAGCTATACGAGTTGACGAGAGCAAGGCTGACAACTTCAGAACCTGATCCCTCTTTGCATACGGCCCTTACGGCTCATCTTGCCGTCTGAAAGGCTGAGGAGTGCACGCATTGTGCTTCTCAAGGCCACGCATTTACCGTTCGTAGGCATCATTTGGGCCTACGAACACTTCGACGTGTATCGAAAGCGTGACTCGAACCTCATGTCTTTTAGCGGCCCGCAGACACCTACAGCTGCGAAAAGACCTTCGCGGCTGGCTGTGAACTCTCCTCGTTTGCTCAGGGCAGATACTCAGGCTTCTACTTTTGCAGCAGGAGCGCGCTCCACAGGCCGTTCGCAGTCAAGTACAGGACAGGCAGAGCCCGATGCACAAATCAAAACCCTCGTCATCAACCTCACTGCACAAGTTGAGGCACTAACGGCTATTGTCTCCCAACTTCAGGAACAGCGCGAAGCGAGCGAGGCCGCTTGATGGCCGGCGCTTAAAGTTGTCCGCAGCACAAGTGTCCAGCTTTCCATCCAACACGTCAATAACAAATGCAAATCAGTGTGTCCAAACCAGTCATATGCCTCGTCCAAATGGCATACCTCCAAGCAACAGCCAGTGAAGCTAAACACTCGCCACGAGCCGTGTGCGCATTGACAAGTTCATCCAAGCACAGGCACCACTCCAAGGGATTAACCGCACTCACCGTTTGTCGCATCTCAGGCTACGGCACAAGTCTTATTCGTGGTCGGCGGCCCGCCGTCGCTTCTTCCCGAGGTAGTGGTTCAAGTGGACCACCCCGGTCGCGCACCATCACCCTCTTGTGCTGGGGTGTGGCCTGCATAACTTGCACTACTACTCTTGCGCACCCCTACACTCCTCAGCCTCCGCAGGACCACGGTCCCATGCCGCTAACAGGCGCTGCCGCCTCGCGGCTGGAACCCATCGCCCCTACGCTCATGTCTTTCCCTGACTGGTACAATCTCCGAGTCTGCCTTATCCTTCAAAAGCCCACTGTTAGAACGGCTTGCTTCGAGACGACACTGCCACAGCACTGCAAACCGACTTCCGAACATATATTTGTGGAGGTTTTCTACCACCTACGTCGTGCAGATATATTCCGGTGCCTGGACGCCCTACAGTGCCACTCATCAAACTCCACCACAAGCCACCATCAGCCTTACCAACTTGATCCTTATCTTCTCAACCCTTCTTTCGCTGTTGGGTATTACACTCAGTCTCACATCCTTTGATAACCACCCTTTGTCACGATGCTTTACACGGAACAGCCTACACCTCCTTTCAACTCGCCCTATCAAACGCATGCGTCACGGGAGGACTCCTTGCTTGAGGCACCCTACCTATCACCAAGCCAGCATAACTCCATGTCAAGATATCCGCAAGGCCTCGGACTCTATAATTACCATCACCAAGCCCCAACAACGCTGCCTCCGTCGCCATCGCCCTCAGAGCCCTGGTCCGGTCACGTCTCAACTGGCGCATCCCCCATTATGACACAGGCAATTGCAGACCCATACGCGTCAGGCGCGTTCGATCACCCAATCATACGCTCTCCCCAGCCTTGGGACGGCTCACAGCTCTCGCCTCGATCGTCCGTCTCGTCTGCGACAATGGTGTCAGTTCACTCTCATCCTGGATCTAACAATGCCTATCACGAGATGACGACTGCAAACTTTGGAAGCCATAGTTGGAGTCATGACGCACGCTACACGCACAACGAGGGAACACTGCCCTTGTCGCGACATTGCCCACTGATTGTTGTTCCTGAGAGGCTCAACAATAACGTCTTTCCTTACGACAACCCCTATGATGCGACACAAATTCCAAGGATGGAGCCTACTCTTGCGATGGAATACGATGACCAAGCATACCTTCGGGCTTCTAGCGAAATGAGCAGTGCATCTCGCCCAGAGTATCCCCAGACTCCTGCTCACAGACAGCGCATACGTAGTCGCAGACACACCGATCCCGCTACGGCCGCCTTCGTTTGTACATTGTGCAAGCCTCAAAAGGGCTTTGCACGAAACTACAATTTCAAGCAGCATATGGAGACACATAATCCCAACCGAGCAAAGCCGCACGTCTGCCGAATGGAGGGATGTCAGAAGGCTTTCGTTCGTAAACTCGACCTCGACAGACATAATACCAGTGTCCACAAAAAGGAAAGGGGATTCAAGTGTGACAAGTGTCCTGCTGATTTTGCACGAAAAGATACGTGCGGCAGGTAAGTACTCTCATTTCGCGGGCTGTGTTCAATAAGTAATATCAACCAGGCACACTAGAGATGGCTGCTCCAAGAGTGCACAGCTGTCCAGCTCGCAGGTGATGCAAGCACGCTACCGACAGAGTGAGTGTTATACTGCGAAACTATAGGAAAGGGAGTTGAAATCATTTTTTAGAGCTGGAGCGTGGGCGGTAAAATGTGAGCGTTATCTGCTGTTCTGCTTTTCAGCATTGGTCTTGCTTTCGGTGCATCCGAAACATAAGTCCCTAGGTGGTATTTTGATATTTTGTATTTGCCTCCGGACAACTGTATTTGATTCTCTTGTACACTTTTGAAGAAAGGAATACATTAAATGCGTGCTGCTCAGCCTCATGGCATCTTTCCTGCACTCGGTTCGACGGCTTCACACCAGGATTTGGCATCTGCGGGGCCACTGTACTTCCATTCAGCACGAACATGAAGCTAACGCTGCACAACCAACTGCACCGACCACACCGTTTTCCGCATACATAAGTGCGATTAACGGGGTCCACACGGGGAAAGTTGCCGTGAGCCAAGTGATGCATGCCAGACGGACGCGGACCAGTCAGGGCGTCATTGCGCGAATTTGCCAGCGGCAGGCGCTTAAATCTGCACGATACCTGCAGCCTTCACATGAACGTCGCGTCGTGACTGGACAGCAGCACGCTCTCTTCGCGGCACGGGGTATGCAGTGCCGCCTTGGGGTCACTAAGCGCAGCAAGGTGGCTATATTACCTGCCTTTTCTTCCATGGCTCGCCTGTCGAACGGCGGCTGCTGCAAAACCCTGCTCACTGGCCAATATCTTGCGTCAGGGGTCGAAAGTGGCATCGCGCCAAAGGATGGGCGTCAGGTCTTGTTCGTATCGCTGCCGGGGCCACACCGGCTCGCTTGTCCCAATCTTAGCGTGGACTAGCCATCACGTCACACACCTAGGTACAGTGTTCGTGACGGTCGACGCACCTTCATTGTTTTGGAATGTCCTTGTCTCGTGCTGCATGACCGCCATACTACCTTTCGTCTTCTGCCCGACCCAGCGTTGTTGTTTAATTACACCCCGCCTCAACGACTGCTCCTTCGCGTCATTTTAGGCGGATTTGACCAACGCGCTCCTACGGATCATCTCCTGATTTCCTAATTGACCTTAATGGCAGAGCGAAGGCCGGGCAAGACCCGTTGCGTCTAGACTCACATGATCGCGAGCTCAAGCGGGCTGCGGATTAAGGCTCATAATTATTGCCGATTTTCACGCGTCTTGGAACTGTTGCTCGCTGCCTCATTGGTATTGCGAGACGCTGCTCCGTCCGAGACACGTACTCTGTGTTCACTCGGTCCGACGTTTCGATGACAGTCCGCCCCAACTAGGACCTTCTGCAGTCGCACCCTACCACCCTACCACGCTCCAGTGCGAACTGAGGTACCTGTTTGAATGACACTGTTCGCATATTTTCTCATCTTCTAAGCGACAATAACGATGCAATATCATACTGCAGACGAACGTGCAAATTGAAACTCAGTACTACCTTCGAACTATTGCTCGCTACACAATTGGCCAGCCAGCGAATATTGGCCCGCACAAACAGTGCTCGACTCAAGCTGAACCGATGTGGATTAGTGGATTGTTCTGGGGCGATCGAGGGCCAGCCATCAGCCCTATCCTTAAATAACGTACTGAAGATTCATTGTGACTAAGAGCTCTTTGGACGATGCAGCGAACATTATTCCGATTCATCTCGCTTTGCAGCAGACCAGCATCGACTTACCACCGCAGTTGCCCCGTCTCGCACATTGTTAGGCAGTCTCGCATGCTCACGGAGGCTTTTCAATCATGCAGATTAACCTATACACAGCGAACGACAAGGAGCGGCAATACTCGAGCAGATTCGTCGCTCGATCCGCCATCCATCACGGACGGCCGCAGCTCACCATGTCTCCACACGATTGCACCTAGACACCTTACATTGCTTAACGGTAACATGTCTGGACTGTTTTTCTCACCATAGATACTGAGATCTTTCAGGTCACCAATCCATGGTGCTCAGCATTGCTTGATGCAGGCCAAAGGCAATTGAAGGATAAGTCTCCATGCTCATCAAACTCGGAGCTTTCGAGCAGTCGTGTTGTCAATTTAATCAAAACCGCATCGGATGGAGGCAATGATTCATAAGAGCGTCATTTGAAGTACCGTATCATACAGTGTGGACTGCTGGTTGAGGATCCTCGCAGATGTTGCTTGACCTCGCACTGGTCCGTGGAGCAGGCGATCGCGCTTCCTACTGTTCACGTCGTCAAAGCGAATCAAACTGCACTTTCTGCCACGCGAGCTCCCTGCAAACATCATGGAAACACTCCATGCTGTGTCACATCTCGTCCCGCCAGAGGCCGCCACAAGCGCGTCCGGCGTTTGACTGTTTGATGCGATCGGTTAACGAACCGAGACGCTGTGCAACCGCTAACAAGCGACCAGCGACCATCGCGGCTGCAAGGGTGCAACGCGCGTGGAACTCGTTAGCGCTGCCTGCAGAACGCGCTAAAAGTGATGACCTTTACCCAATCGTGCTTCCCTCGGCCGGAAATTTGAAAACGACATCTTCGATACGCATTCTTAGCAAACACTGCTTCTCAACAATACTCTGCAGCAGGTTCGTTGACTATTTAATTCCGAGCAAGCGAGGCCTGGATCATGCAAGCCACAGGCCTTACAGGATGCGAGGCTGATGGTTCGTGGTTCATGCGCTCAGGTCCCTGCAGAGTTGTTCAGATCAATGGCCAGGATCCTGGTCACTGGCGTGCGGGGCGTCAGCATCTTATGGCATCTTCTGCTCAATGCTCGATACTGAGCCGGCATTGTTCACGATGTAGTCACCATCTTTCGTTACCGCGGTCTATCTGCTTAACGGCTCTTGCATCCTCGACCAGCAGGCAAGGAAAGATAGCGTCACTTTTTGTGGGTCAGCACGGAGCTCGATTCCACGGCGTCTAGCATATCCTTAATCAGTTATGGTGGAAGCAGCATTTTTGTCTCCCCGGCCAATCATATTTGCGCCGCTCGTATATATAATCGTATTTGGAACACATGCGGAGCCTTACGGGTTCCACAATCTACCGGCATACACAGAATTCTTCCACAGCAGATACTCCGTCGAGGAAAGTTATGTCCCAACATGTAACTCGCTCTTCGAATCACGAGACTTTTGCTGCGAATAATGCAGAATGAGAGTGTGAAACGCTGTAGTCGATTGGGCCAACGCCGGCTAGAGCTGGCTGCATAGCGTACGTTCGGCAGCCACCTGCCGCGGCCCGTGGGGCTTGACCATGTAGGGTACAGATCACGACGGCGACAGCCATCGATCCACGGGACCATGACTCTTGCGGATCTTCGACAAATCTCAACCTGCTCACTTGAGACTGCAGAGTATCGAAAATACCAAATGCTCGGTAACTTGAGTCCACGGCGCGCACAACGCCAGGCTAATTTCCCCTACTGTGCAGGAAAGGCTGTGTTCGCGACCCGCGTGACTCATGCGACTTCAGAGCCTCTGCTTCCTTGTTCACAGCGTGTCGCGGTCGAATTATGCTGTCTCTGACGCAGAAGCCAAGCACAAGAATCGGTCACATCTTTGCGCAGTGAAAATTGTTGTCCGTCATCGCCCCGCAGTGCAACGCCTGGCACAAATCTTGGCTAACGGGCACGAGATGGACTTTGTCTTTTGCGTAGGGTACTACAGCCACTCCCTGGCCCCTTTTGCAAGCCACAACATGTCAAGCGTTATGGCACAGCTTTCCATCAGATCTTCAATCCGCCCGCTGCCACCCAACGGCCCACAGCTTCTTCCCTAAGCCGTTAAGAGAAGGCTGTGGCACCATGTTCCTTCGAGAAGACTGGTAGCGTCCGTAAAGAAAGGGCGATGTAGTGACATTCATCCGAATCAACAATGCTCCATATTTCAAGTTGATCACATTGAGTCTCCGGACCCGAGCAGTCATGTCATCTCCGGCTAAAAGATGCAAGGCTCTAATATCTGTGGATCGACAACATCGCCGCCGGTACCCATCGGAAAAGCGTTGATGATGTCAATTTCAACACCTTGGACACAGAAGGATATGTGAAGAGTGTTAGTCTGGAAATATTACGGCGCAGTCATGAGGATGGCATCGCCAGGAGTAATATTCCCGCCTCCCTGTTGATCACCCTGCTGTGCCCTCGCTGCAGGGCTGCTTCTTCCCTGTGTGACAGGCACAATGCATACCTCAAGCAGCGCCGCATTACTCAGCGCATCTTCGCTCCACACTTTGTCGGAATCATGTGCATCTCAAGACCGCATTATCGATGTTCGACCGGATTCGGGCAAGCCCAACTGTTACTGCTAAGGAGCTACCATAGACACATGCACATTGGAAGCCTTCAAACATTTCTTACATGTCTACCCGGTAGGGTCAACAAAGCTACTCGTACCAGGGCTGGACGGTCGGTGTCGCCTCCCAAAGGACTCCGTGATCCGTCTGAATCATGTATCACTGCGTACATCTTTTCACGATGTCGATATCCAGTGGCCGCACAAAACGCATCGAAGGATTGCGGCTAAAGTGGACAGGCCATTTTTCGCCTACCCTGGTTCTCGCGCTCTCTCACAGGCAAACAGGAACGGGATTCCAGATGCGCTTGATATCGCATCACCTGTAACACAACTATGCGGGGGTGCGCAAGGGCGCCCCTTCGGATCCATTCACGAGAGAGGAATCATTTCTCTGGGCACGAGATTCCCTGCGAGACGATCGTCAGGGAGGATGGAGACCTGGGTGTGTGAGATGCAGACAAGGTGTGCGTTTGAAAAAGTATGAGGAATGGAGACGGAGGGATGTAGATTCTTAGATTTTGAACGAATTGCTTCATGGCTGCGTCGACGGTAAGGGGTGCCCTAAAAGAGAAGGTGAGTTGGGTTGAAATGTGGGGAGAACTAACAGCGCAGGGTACCACTCGTGGCTACGCGCGCGATGAAATCTAAAGCACGGTGTGACGACCGCGTGCAAAGCGGTTGTGAGCAAGCTCCTCCATGTCAAGCAATCATTGCACAAATCCCGACGCCTTAGCCACAACGTGGCCATAGCTGTCAGCCTTCTTCGCTCCTTCTTGCGTGTTCATCGATCCCGCTCGCTCATCTGCGCCTGTTCATTGACCCACTAGTACAGCTATACTCCCTTCAGTCAGGCTCTCGTCTTACCATATAGGCTTAGTATACCTTCACAGCACACGGGTGGCGAGATTAGACCTTCCGGTCTGAGCGTCGAAGACCATCACCCGCTTGCAGCCTCACGCCAAGAGCACATGATGGAACGACGCTACAACCGTGGCCAGTACCATCGCAGACGCGTTTCGCGGTGGATCCTGTTGAGAAGCCCACGTGCTAGCGAGCCCCAGCGTACGGGCAAGTACCTACCACCGAAGCTTGACGAAGGAAGCAGTGCAAGACTCTCAGTGACGAAGTTGAGGCGTTGAGGTTGCTCATGCCGATATGGTATAGGCTCTCACGCTCTTAGTATGACGATATAACCGCATTGGCATCTTCGACGCTGAAGCCTCCCTTCTTCTAGGGCACGCACCAATGCAAGACATCGATCAACCGTTGAGACACTAGGATTACGATGCTGGTACCGCCTCCAAAGTCGAAGTACAATAGGAGGCAAGACACCGAGATGTTGACGGAGATACCAAATGTAACAACACAATGCGTGAGGCAAGTAAGATGGCGTTGCGAGACCGAGATACTGGAAGAGGAAAATGCTAGCATCGCTTCGATACAGCCAGCGTGAAGGATCTCATGATGACGGTCTAAATAAGCCCTCCCTCAGCCAAGCATCGACCGTACTTCAACCGGTCAAGCAGTATCGCGAGATCAAAGCTTTGAGACACTCCTCTTGATGTATTCCAAATGGTTGTGCAACACGACTCAATTCTCAGCGCCGCTTCAGTGGACAGAAGTAGTTCGCTGCCACAGCCTGACTCTGCCGGAGACACAGACTGTGGTAGCACTATCAGATCCATTCGCCCGCAATACCTCGCATAAGATCCCAACAGCCACTCCCAGTGCCTGGTACTGACTCGCCTTCAACACTGCAGAGCTCGGCCATCACGCAACAAATGCTTCACTGAGCGGTCTGATAATCTAGCGCACGGTATGATCACACGGCCTCCTGCAGCTAGATGTCCGTGCCCATATAATTGTATGGGCACATGTGCTACTAATTGTCGCGACAGCACAATTCATAAGAGAGCGCATCAAGACCATATTTAGAATCGCACGAGTGGTTGGTGAAACAACATGAAGTCACTGGATGTCAGTGACGCACTATACGTGCCTGCTTGTCCGCCCCTTACCCAAACAAGTCGTCCCGTATCGATCTCGCCGGGGGATTATCGAATCAAACCTGATACGATTTTCCCCATACTATCAACACTCCGAATTTTTTCAAGACGGACTATCGTTATGATCCAGCTACGAATAAGATATTTTGTTCGTGTCAATGCTTGCAGAACATATTGATACTATCACGCATTTCACAACTATATGCATCTTCACATCCTCTACAGGAGTCTATCGTGGCGTGCTATGAATGACACGATAAGACTTCGGCCGTTACTTGATGTCCACTACCTTTCTTTGATGCTATTCAAGCACCGCCTCTCTATCAGTAGAGAAGTCAAAGTATTGGTAGCGTGTGATCCAAGCAACACTTTCGACATGACGCTGTGAATGGTTTTGTCAATGATGAGAACCAGATTTATGTAAGAACGACCAGCACATCTAGCATGCATGTCACCAATGGAAAGTATCGCGCAAGCCGTGAACTCGCCCCAAGGTTGGTATTCGTGTGTGGATGGTATTGGTGTTGACACGACAAGAAACATCATCCCTTGCTCGCACAATTCTCGCCTGAACTCTTTTAAGATCAGATAACGGCACTACCTCTTGGTTGCTGTACTTGAAGGGGGAGCTATCGAAATCGATTGTGAATTGGTAAAATGGTATGGAAACAAAGCCTCTACTGATGTGCAAGGACTCGGATGTATTGTAACGGTAGGAAAGTATCCTGGATCGTGGCATTCATCCAGCATCTTTGGGTCAGTCCTACAAATCCACTTCCTTTCTTTCCTAGCGCAACCTAATCTTGCTAGCCTTCATTCCCCGACTGCGAGGCCTCTTCGTGTGTCGTAAGATCGTGTCGTTCATGTCGTTGATTGCCAATCATTGATCCGGCTCGTACATCCTAAAACCCAAAAGTCTGGCGTCTGGGCCTCCCGTATCAGCTTGGAGAGCGCAGCATTCGGGCCAATTGCAACTATCATGCATGCGTTCCGGGTCGCGTGCCGTACTTTTCGAGGCATCGATCTGGAGTGATCGGTGTCGGTGTGGCTCAGATGAAGTCGTTGCCGCCAAAGCCACCGAATGGGTTGGGCGGCCCACCGAAACCTCCCCCAGGGAATCTCGGCCCTCCGCCGCGGTTGTCTCGTGGTGTACCGCCTGGACCGACTGGATCGTATCGTGCGCCAGGTGGTGCTGATGGGTCGTAGCCTCCCTGTCCGCCTTGTCCACGGAAGAGCGGGTCGTCGAAGGTAGGGTGCATACCACCACCGAAGCCGCCGCCAGGTCCTGGGAGACCGCCGCCGAGATGCGGTCGCAGAGGGTCATTGGGACCCAGACCTTGTGGGTACAGATCGTCGTGGCCAATCCCTACAGGGTAATGGCCGTCACGTAGTCCGCCTCGTTGTGGGCCATTGACCTCGTACTCATCGTCGAAGCCAGGCATGGGTTCAGGTAGCGACCTGCCTGGTTGTCGAGGGACGGCCAGAGGATCGTTAAAGGGATATGGACGCGCTGGCTCAGGATCTTGCGGCTGACGGGGGTTTGGTAAATTGGCGGGGCGAGGTGTTGAGTTGCCATCAGGCGCAGGACCGTTTTGCGAATTCGATGCGCCGCTATCCTCGAATCCAGCTTTCTGCAAGCTCGGCGCAAGCTTCTGGATGATCTTCAACTTGAGCTCCGCGCTAAGATCATTCAGACGCCCAGACGATATGAAGAGGTCCATCAGCTTCTTGGCTGCATCTTCTGTCGACATGTCCTCCGGTATGCTCAAAGGGAGCATAGAGTCTGACAGGTATTCTGTTGTCGTGACATCGAAGTTCTTTGGTCGATCGTCGCCAATAGCAATCGCGGAGACAGCTGCTTTGCTGCCTAGCTTGTGAACGTTGATGTGGTAGTCCATGGCGGACTGTGCGTGCTTGTAGCAGAATGTGTATAGTGAGGAGGCATTCCATGTTGCAGGAAGTGGATTGGGGTTCTCGGCGTCTGCATATGCTTCTATGAGTACCTGAGCATGAAGATTGGTGAAATTGGAAGGTATATGGGAGGTTGGGCCGGTAAGGGACAGAACTGCGCACTCACCTATTCTCTCGTCTTCACCAACACCTACTAGTCTGAAACCTACTGCAAGCATACCGGCGTGCACTGCCAGTGCTATAGCTTCGGTCCCGTTCTTCAGCTTTGAGCTCTCGCCTCTCGGTAGCGCAGTCGCCATGAAGAGCGAAAGGGAGCCCGCGCTGAGCGGGTTCCCCGTCGTTCTGTCAGCGACCATGGCGTTGTGTCGTCACGAATTCGTTGTGTTGTGTGATGAATGGATCTAGATCTTCTCGGTCATGAGTGTGGATATGTGGGAGGAGACGTTATGTGCAGAATATAAATGCTTCTGCGCAGGCAGCAGGGTCTATGTGAGAGTTGTGCGTGAACTTCGTAATGATGTCAAACGCGGTAGCTTGCGGCTGTGGGGCAACATCCCTGCTTGACAACACCCGTTGCGATCGATTCAGCCCACCCGTGCAGTGCATGTGTCGTGCAATATCGAATCACCCGTTGGCAAAGATTCACGACAGTATGCGTCTTCTCATGCTGCGCTCCACATCACGCAGGAGAAAGTCAACATGGCAATGCGTCTTGCTACAAAGGGAAGCGCACTGCAGAATCATGACATCACCGGTCTCTGAAGCGCTGGCCGTGCAGAAAGAAGCATGATACTGCCCAGTGTCCGTTGGCTTAAGTTGTGGGACGTCGCACAGAGATGTAATTAGACATGTATAGCAGGCGAACTATGCTCAAGCCTAGGGGAATAATGTGGTTTGGTAAACGCCATGGCCATGCAAAAACAAGGTAGGAGATTCTCATGCATGATCTCAGAGGTAGCTGAGCGGGTGTCGCGAGAACTAGTCAGCATAGTCCTGCATGCTGCCTGATACAAGTTCGTTTGGTTCAAGGAGTCTGCAGAAATTAGCTGCTGGTCTCTGGAGATAACTGGACCCACTTACGAGTATTGCTTGTACAGCGTGCCCTCGCCGCCCTTCTCCAGATCGATGTTGAACACGTAGTAGTTGCCTTCACTGGTGACCACCATGATCTGTGGGCCGTTATTGCTGAGTGCTACGACAGTCCGGATCGGACCAGCCGTAGCGCTATTCAGCGATTTGGGCACTTTCACCCACGCGAAGTCGCGTGATGGCTCCCAGATCTCAGCAACTGCGCTTGGCAGGTAACCTCCCACAGTCGCAGCAAAGGACTTGCCTACTGTTTGCGATGTTCGCCGTATCAAGCTACCAAAGGTAGGATTCAGCGGCTTGCGCTCCGGAGTGGCGATATCTGCGACGCTGTCCCCGAACTCGTCTGGCAATTCTTCACTTGCGCGACTGCTGCTCCGCCCACGAGAGCCTGACAACGGCCTGTTGGGACCAGAAGACACACTGTTGCTGCGGCTTGTATTCGGTGTACCAAGGCGGAAAATGTGCACCGTCTCTGTTGCTGATGACACGCTCAGCAGGGTCGAGGTCGAGTTGAACGACATGCTGTATATCCTGGCCGGGATGGAGCCTCTCCTGAACTGGTAGAGCTTCTGTGCATCTGGGACAGAGAAGACACGAATGATAGTTCCCTTCTCAGAAGCAGTAGCCAAGAGTGTTCCATCATTGTTGAGCGCAATGCACGACAAAGGTGAATTGTGGGCCTCTATGACGTTCACGGCCTCCATCTTTGTGGCGTCATATATGAGGACCTCGCCGCTCGTGGGCGCAACATGGTCTGACTTGGGTGGCGCATGCGAAGGCGGTTGGAAGCTATTCGGCGCGGCTTTCGTGGGAAGAGGGTATACGAGGTAGTTGTTTTCGGAGGATGCAGAAAGAGCGCAGATGGCTGTGTTTGTCAGCATGGGTCCTTCAGGTGCTTTATTGTGCAACGAACCGTTAGGGTTTGGTGATGTCTTCTCCGTTTTCAGCATCTGCATGTTGCTGATGTCGTAGATGTATAGCTCTGATTCCAGCACTACCACCAGTCGTTTCCTGTTCAGTCGCATTGCAAGAATTGCTGTGCGGAAGGTCATTTCGCAGATAGTCGAGTGCCTCTGTCCACTCGTCAGTGCTATGAAAGGCCATAGTGACTGTTGTGTATAGGACCTTGGTATTCTGTATGCGCAGGACTCGTGGTGACAGCGTGAGAGCCACCAGGGAGGTTGAAAAGAGCATCTCGAGACTCGAGACATCGCCCTCACGAGACTCGGACTGCTTATTGAAGGGGTCGGTGGTGTATACGCGGTAGCCGTTGGAAGTACCTGGATGTGATGTCAGAGTTGTCCCTCCAGAGTATGTGATGTCGCGTACCGACACCGAGGTGGCTATGGTCCTGGTTGAATGTCACAAAGTTCATGGACGCCATATTGCTATGCTGTAGTCGTGTGTTTATTCGGTCCAGACGTTCGAGCTATCGGCGGTAAGTGCGGAGCTTGGACAGATCGAGCGCTACAGGCGGCGACAGGTATGGGCGACGACGAAGTGAGAGAAGTGAGGCGCTGAGATCGACATGTGTACGTTCCCGCAGTCACCGGCAGCCTTGAAGGCAATCGTCTGTCGAGTGATGCATGATCAGCGGCGCTCGCGTGCAGACGGGGATTTGGCCCAAGCCCCGCCATTTACCAGCCACTGTGGCTGAGGTTGTTCAAAAATTGCGGCCCCAGTGAACACCATGACAAGAGCAATGATGACCGCACGACAGAAAGAGAAGTCTGCAAAGCCTGCGAAAGGGCGCGGAGGTCACCTGAGGTCGAAAGTAGAAAAGCGAGACGACGACATCATTCATGTGAGACACCATACTGGGTTCTCTACCTTCGTGTTTCAAGAACTTGCCTGACACAGTGCTATGTAGACGAACGACAGCAGTATCGTATCCAAGAGATGTGTCTCGAAGCTGTACCTCAGCAATGAGCCAGATTTCTATGAGCCGTTCGCCCCGAAATATGTGCGGCGCAATCCACTGATCAATCGTGGCTATTGGCTGCGAATGCACGCCATCGAGCAAGTCGTCAAACGCTATCTTGAGGAACATGACGGCAAGAAGAAAGTCGTGGTGAACTTGGGATGTGGATAGTGAGTAAGATGTTTGCAGTCAATACATCGACACAACCAACCATCACAGCGACCCATTGCCCTTCCAATTCTGGCATCGATATGCAGCACTCACGAAGGGAGCCACCTTCGTGGACGTGGATTACCCACAACTGATCGATAAGAAGAGAGATGTGATCTTCAATAAAAGCCTACTGCGAGATGCACTGCTCAAGACTGGCCTACGCTCAGCAGAGGCATCTGTCCGTGTCCGAAGTGAGCAATACATGGCCATAGGCTGTGACCTCAGGGATCTCCAACTACTTGAGCGTACTCTGCGGGCTGAATTAGATGTCCCGAACTCCTCAATCCTATTCGTAGCTGAAGTGAGCGTTACCTACATGCCACTTGTAGATGCCAACAGGCTCATACAGTGGGCGAATACCTTCAAATTCTGTAAGTCGACATTACCAGCCTCGACTGTACACACACTTATACTACATGGCCCGCTTCTGCATGCTGGAGCAGTACCTGCCTCAAGGGCCAGACCACCCCTTCGCACATACCATGTTGGCACACTTCGATAAGTTGCATGCGTCGATCAACTCAGTCAAGCATTATCAAACACTAGCGCAACAGTCTTCAAGATTTCTGGATGCAGGCTGGTCTTCGCTTGAGGTGGCCAAAAACTTGTGGGACCTCTGGTCTGACGACTCCTTCACCCCGCCATCCCTTCGTCAGAGAGTGGACGCAGTTGAGCCCTTTGACGAATGGGAGGAATTTGCCCTATTCGGCGGTCACTACTCTCTACTAGTCGCATCAAAAATAAAGGAAGGACCCACTGCCTCCCAAGGAGCCAATGCAGTTCCCACGGAAGCAAATGTCGACTCCGGCTCTGAGCCAACGTCAATCTTGCTACAGTCCTGGGAGCTCCCTGCAGACTCCACATGGACGCCGCGGCGTTTCACCGCATCCTTCTCCCTGGCTGAGACTGTTGCTGTTCACGGCGGACAGGGACCGCAGAACCGCTTGTCAAGCATTAGCGCACTTTCTCGCGGCAATGCAGGTTACCAGATCCAGGCTGAATCTACGATGCAGCCTTCAGCGCGTATGTGCCACACGGTCACAACGGTCAGCAGGACTAGCGCACTGTTAGTTGGCGGACGAGCGTCTCCTGCTCAGCCACTGGCAGATTGCTGGCTGATAGACGAGGGCAAGTGGTCTGCAGTAGACGACATACCTTCACCGCGCTACAGACATTCTTCCGTTTCTGTGAACGTGTCGTACGACGTGTCTCGGAGCGCGGGCATTTTGGTGTTTGGTGGCAAGTCTGTTGACGGCGCAATACTGAACGACTGGTGCTTGTGGACGCCCAACAACGGCTGGCACAGTATTCCCGTTGACGGTCCGCATCCACCAGCACGCTTTGGTGCCGCAATATCTGCGATGGGTGTGGCAAAGTCTGCACAGACTTGTGGGCTACTCATCGGGGGCATTGGCGCTTGCGGCACGGTCTTAGAGGATGTCTGGGAGTGGTCGCTTGCAGGCACAGCACCACCACGACTAAGTTTCCGAGACATAACCAACAGACTCCACAGTAGCTCGTCGAAATCTACTTACGCACGGATTGGTGCCAGCCTAGTGCCGTGGGGAGACGCTCTACTCCTCATTGGAGGTGTTTCAAAGCTGGGTATTGTCAGTTTAGCAGACGAGTTCATGCTGCTGACGCGCAGTGACAAAGGGATTAATATCCAGCACCCCGAGATCCACTTGCCTGCATATTGGCCACTGCTCGTCGGTGCAGGCATAAGCGCAGTCTCTCGAAACGAGATTGTCGTGGCTGGCGGTGGCGCTGTCTGCTTCTCCATGGGTTCTTTCTGGAATGAGCATTACCTGACCATCACACCTTTTGAAACACATGGAGCTAGACAATGGAGCCTGCTGCCCCTACAAGCGGATAGCACATCAGCGAAGCCAGTCTCCACCCAGAAAGACGAGCGCAGGAAGCTGTCAAAGAAAGGACCAAAGCTCAAAGACATTCTTCGGGTTCAACTGCAATCCCCAGGGGACTTCGCTGCCTTAGTAGCGACTTTTCAACCCGCCATCATCACTGGTCTCGACATAGGTCCTTGTACCAGATTATGGAGCATCGACTACCTCGAGGCCAATTTAGGCTCAGACCGTGAGCTGATAGTACACGAGTGTACATCACCAGTCATGACCTTCGGCCCCAAGAACTTCACCTACGAGAAGCGTAGCGTCTCCTCCTTCTTCTCCAGCATAAACAGCGGCGCATCCTCCTACCTGCGTGCCATATCGTCCACTCAACCCAACAAGCTGCCCACACGCTTGGAAGACGACTTCCCCAGCATTTCCGCAGACTTTCACATCCCCGTGCTCTGTCGCGGCGTCATCAATGAGAGTTCTTATCATAGCAGTCCGCTGCGCATCAGTGGTCCGGTGAGCTTGTGGCTGCACTATGATGTGCATCCCAACATCCTCAGCCAGATCTCAGGTACTAAGACACTAACCCTGTATCCACCGTCTGACGTCTCGCATCTCGCATACCCACCGGGCGCATCATCGTCCTCCCAACCGCTCTCTGCGCTCACGAACAACCCCAAATTGCACCCTCACGTAGCTGCCCTCGTGCCGGGTGATGTGCTCTTCATACCACCTATGTGGAGCCACACCGCCACGCCGAACGAGGGGGTGAGTATTGCGGTGAATGTGTTCTGGAAGGGGTTGGCCGAGGAGGTGTATGCAGCGGGTAGGGATGTGTATGGCAATCGCGATTTGAAGGGGTATGAGAATGGTAGGAGGGATGTGGAGAAGATTGTTAGGGCGTTTAGGGGGTTGCCGGCCGATGTTGGAGAATTTTATTTGCAGAGACTTGCGGCGGAGATACTCGAGCGCGGCAAGAAACAGGCGGAGAAGCAATGAGTGTGAGGAAGGCGCAGGAAGATTGGCCTAGCAAAGTCGCTTAGGTGCAAGATTTGAGCTTGATTGCTCGACGACATAATATGTCTACACGTCTGACTACCTCACCAGTAGCCTTAGTGTCCCATCAGTACCTTCCAGACTCACGTCCGTCGACTTTGCGGCTTCGTGCATCACATTTTTGCTTGCCAGATGAGCATTACCCTCGATGCCGTGGTGCCCTCGCAAAAGAGGATTGCCAATACACAGCTCTTCCATAGTCTTGCGCGTCTACTCCGCAATCATCGATGGTGACAAGCACGAGGAGGACGGCTAGAGTTGCCCGAATTTCAGAAAGCGATCGATACAGCAGCTTCATGTTTTGTCGTCCACCTTATTGAAGGAATCAACTAAAGGCGTGTGTAACAGCTACTGGTCCTGCTGCGCCTCAACCTCGGAAGCGAAGCGCTTGGGTGTTTTCCCCAATTCAAGACAGATAACTGCCAAAGTACCTTCATCGCGATAGGACATCGTGTTATGTGAAAAGTGCAGTAACATCCATTTCCGTCGACTCGCGGATTGCGACTTGATCAAACAAAACCCAGATCAACTGCCTGCGCGACTGGACTCGATAGAGGTGACCCACTGCGTCTACTACATTCACCATGCAAGCAAAGATGCACTCCAACTCTCCAGCCAGGATGGCTCCCACTTTTGTGCTATGCTTTTCCATCGCTTGTTCTGCGATGCTGAGTCGTCCATCCTCAGTAGTCAAAGATACACTTTTGCAAGACGAGAGTTGATATTCAGAAAATCTACGTTGGAGAATTGGATAGGCAGAGACGGAGGATTCGAGCAGTGGAACACAGATGACTGGATCTATGTGTGTTGCGGTGCAATTCGGTCCTATAGGCCTTGATCGTCACCTCAATTGACTAGCTTGGACTAGCACGTCTCAGGGCATGTACATATGGTTACCTCCTAGCTAGCAAGCAACTCAGCGCAGTTTCCATCGGCTATACAGCGGCTACGTCTGCCGCAACAATGTGCAATGCGAAGGCAGAAACGTGACGTCTACAACCCATGGACACCACCCCGGTGAGGATTGGGGATTCACCCATGTACACTCATGCTGACACACCCTAGGATACATAGGATGGATGCTCGACGCGTTGACTACATGCCCGAGCGCGTCGATTTTGGAAGGTCGCAGCTCTGGGGACCCAGGTCCTGAGCCATTTGCTGGCTCTGAAGACATGGCGAAATCGGAGTTTTGCGACATCCCTTCGGAGCTGCTTCACTTGAATACCAACATGTACTACCGTTGACTCGATGCTACGACCATATCGCTTCCCAACATGCTTCTTGCTTCGATCTGGCTCCAAGCGTGTAAGCGGGAACATAGCGTTTGCAACGACTTTCAGAAAGGAGGACAGCTGCCTGAACGTATCAATCTCAGTAATCCTCTCAAACCCGTTATGGATGAAGGTTCAGGTCAAGAGGAGCCTTTTGCCACCTTGATTTACAAGTCGGGTGATGCTCGCAGAAACGTAACGACGTTCGAGAACTTAGACCATCATACGAACTTGGGCATTCCATTGCAAGAACTTCCACAGACCTTTCAAGATGCAATGTTTGTAGCGAGCTTGCTTGGTTTTCAGTGGATTTGGATAGACGCGTTGTGCATCTGTCAAGATCAGATTGACGAATTTTCACGTGCGGTCAATGGGATGGATCAGACGTTTCGGGTATCGACGGTGACGATATTTGCAGTCGCCAGCGAAAATACCGACTCTGGTCTGAAGTCAAGTAGGGATCATAGATGGGTCATGCCTTGTCAGCTCAGACTCAGGACTACCTTGGAAAATGGCACGGCCGAAGGAGAGGCCTATCTCACTCTTGACTATGCCAAAAGCCCACAAGTACCTTTGTATGCTCGCTGACAGTACGTCTCCCCGCTTCAGGCCAATATCCACGTATATCTAAAGCTTACTCGAGGTAGAGTTCTCCAGGAACAAGTCCTTGCACATCGCGGCCTAATCTTTGAAGCCAACCAAATTCATTGGCGATGTCTCTGTGGCACTGCATCAGAAACTTTCCCATCAAAAACAATTGGAAGAACAGTCAATACCACCGAAAATATCGGCACAGTTGAACAAGGGTTTGTCAGATACTCCAAAGAGTACGATGGTCTCGATCATCTGCGCATGTGGACCAACAGAGCGGACGCCATGCCAAAACGAACACCTTGGCAGCGAGATGATCAATATGACGCCTAATACTCGATGATCATCAACTACAATACAAGAGCTCTGACCTATGAAACCGACGTCTTGTCTGCTCTTGCTGGCTTAGCCAGTGCAATCTCCACCACCTACAGTTGCACTTACCTCAACGGGCTTTCGCAAGAGGACTTACAGGTCGGGCTTTGCTGGTACATATGCGATCTCAAGTACGAGAGGTCAGTTCTACAAGTCTCCCAGAGGGAGCCATCACCATCTTGGAGTTGGATCTCTCAACGAGGTAGGCAGATCACATTCCACGGCTGGGCAAACAACCACATTGTCGCCAAGCACGAAGGTGTCTCAATGATCGAAAATCCACCCGTTTCTCATGACCATGAAACTGCACCTAGTCTTGGACACTCCTTCTCGGCCATTACTTTTAATCCGATTAAAATGACTGGAAGGTTACGAAAAGTCCTGGTAAGGTCGATTTCGATCCTGGATGATGACTCGGAAGAGTTCTCGATGAGGAGAGGCTTATCAGAAGCTCGATGGCTATGGATGGTCCGAAATATTCAAACAGACAAGAATATTGGTCAGATCACCTTCAATTTCGACCCATCGGCGTTCAAGGAGATGTATTTATTTTGCCTGCTATGTCTCGTTCGAGAAAAGTACGGAGATTGGCAGCTGACTTGCTTGGTACTGGTGCCAATGGGTGAGACCATGGAGGAATTTCGGCATGTTGGCTTAATACTGGTGACACAGGAAGATTGGTTTGGCAAACTGCTGCGGTCCTTCGAGTATGATTCGAGCAGCCCACCGATTGAACACAGAGGTCGAGACATCACGTTTCATAAGTCGGTGCGTCTTGTCTAGATGTTTGTTATGTAACGTATCACTTCTACGAGCTAGAGCACAATGTGCATGTAAATGCGTTATACGTCCTTACTGTTTCTTCTCCAAGTTATTTGACATCATTTTGATGTCCAGAACATGCCGAAGTGGCTTGCACAGGTTTCGTGCAACGCTGGTTATAATAGCGTGCCACTCGATGCAGTGCCCCGCCGTTTTTACCCTCAGGGCTTACAATAGTAGACTTGGCAACTGCATTCATTACCTCTTTCCCAGCCGACCTGTCTAGCTGTACATCAACCTGCTGCTAATGTTGGGTTCTCCTAAAGTCTGTCACTCGCGACGTCGCGAGTCTCGTGTACGACTAGCATCATAACAGGAAGTGTGATCCATTCCCATTGAACCCGCACACAGGTTGCGGTATGCCACATGTCTCCTCTTGCGTACCAGCATGACCCTTCGATGCTGTGCGTCCTAACGATAGCTATCATCGCAAAAGCGATGTCCTGGAAAGTCCCGTCGATGGTATCGAATGTCATCATCTTGTACGAAGCCTGCGTCATACCATGGTGTGTGCACAAAGGTATTGATCCATGTGTTCTTCCCTTCAGATTCGATTAACTCCTGGTTGTTGAAAAGGCTTCCGAAGTCTCGTTGGATACTCGCATCGAAGGCCAAGGAATAGCGGCAGGGTAGTACTGTATCGAGCTTACTCTTTCTGGCCGAGTAGGACGTTGAGAGGTGATGGCTCCTTCCGGTCTGTAGAATCTAATAGTTCCTCTCTGCGGATTTTTCGATCCAGTCCAGGCTTGTAAAGATCCATTCCGTAGCAAACAATCTGGTGCCAGCCTGAAAGCATACATCATCTGCTGGAAGTCCTCGAAGTCAGTAGAATGCTCGATAGCGTCAAGGCTGGTTCTCAAGATGGCGTTTTTGCTGACCAAAGTCTCCTTCACAGAGTCGTCGGTGATGTTGACTCCACATGTGTCAGCCGTAGGAAATAGTGAGTACTGCGCAGATCTCTGGGGCAGATTTTTTTGCTTGCTACAACAATCTCACCTTGTGTAGCCGACACTTGGATTGGAGCTAAAGCATCCTCGATCGAAATGTTTCTGTAGTCAGTTCTGTTGCCACTAACTGTGATCCAGGTCCTTGTCACGTTCCTATTATAAGCGATGTTTTGCCGACGAACATAGCTGGTTGTATCCTCGCAAAGATGCCTGATTCCCAACGACAAGAACGAAGAACCGTCGCTGGATGGAGAGGTGCAGTTGCCGCTAGTACACCCGGCAGCGAAGACACTAGACAGGTCCTCGATACGTTGTATCAGGCCGAAACTTATGGCAACATCCATAGGTCCATATTTTTCATAGACAGCAGGGCCCAGAGGAGTGCCCGAAGCCGTGAAGTTGTTAGTCCTTGCTAAGGTAACAACTGCCGCGTCGTCTCGTTGTAGACGACTCTCAAACTGGAGAAACTGCTGCGAGAAAAATGTAGACAAGGCTACTAACATGGTTTTTAAAGCCCCAAGAGCGGGAACAACGCTTGTTGTTGTGAAATCAAGCCGTCTTTCGCGTGTAGGTCACTCACAATGCTCGACTGGACTTCAGTTTCAACAATACTAACATAGAAACCCGTGAACCGCGACTCTAAGTCGAAGCGCTCTATGTCCTATAATTTCTGGAGTTTGCGGTACCATTGCTACTTACATTGACTAATGCCTACCGAAGTATTAGCAGGAGCTTGTAGAGAGTTACGGCGCAAAGATCTGAACCTACCTTCTGCAAGAACCAGGCCAACACCTAACTGAGTTGATGGTTACAAGCTGTGACCAATCTGGAATAGATCTATCTTGATACGCTAAGAGGGTTGCGACAAGCCCGAAGAAGGTCGGTAGCGAGAAGAGATAGCTGCCGATCTTACTACTCCCGCTCCCAATCCACGACCTTGTAAAGACCTGGACGAAAACTTCCCAGGGGAACATCGAGGATGTATACACATGTCGGACAAGCCTAACGAGCGGCTTTCTTCGCCTGTGTCCATGCTTCATGGAGGTATCGGGCTTTGCTATGTCTGGAGTCGATATAGAGGCTTGATTAGAATTTTTCGACCCTGCGATGTATCCTGACACGGAGCTCGTCCCCTCGGGATTCAAGTCGAGGAGTGGAGGCGCAGATGACCCTCGTTGATCCACCGTGGAACGTTGATATTGCTTAGGGCAAAGGGCAGCAGTAGATGTTGTGCATCGAAAGCAGCATTGAGGATCTGTGAAAATGTGGAGGGGTATCAAAGTGACTTGCACTGCATGTAAAGTCGCCCGACGCCCATGAGCTCATCGTGTTGCACCTCCGGCTCTGGTGCTACTCAAACTGTGCACAATAGCACTATTCCGGGCTCAACTGTGTCCACAGTGTGTGCTGTGATGCATAGTGGAGAGGCTGAGCATGTTGAAAAGCTCACCGATGGACGGGAAAACCAACTATGCCCGCTGGAGTGCTGTATATTTGTTGACGTCTGCAAAGGGATCGTGATCACGGCCAGAGCCAAAATAGGACAAAAGTGCAGTAACTAGAACAAAAACAAGTACCAGAATGGCCACACAAGCCAGCTCTGCTAGTATTTCATTATTTCCGAAATTTTCGGAGCAGCAAGGCTAGAAACTGAACGTGGCAGCCGAATTCTAAACTGTCGGACGTGTGAGGAGCTACGTCATCGCTACACTCAATACCAAAAAACAGGCATTACCAACATGTGAACCTCACGAAATGTGCGTGCGATAACATCAAACCATTCCGCAAAGTATTCAACTGCCCTTCACAGCCTGATACTCTAATCAACATGTCTCTAGCCTCTCTCCTAAACCTAGTCCCCCTCCCAATCGCCTCCCTCCTCGCGATACCTATGCTTTCCTCCTGGTCCACATCGCTCAACCTGATCTTCCTCTCACTGGCATGGACCACAATGGCCGCCACATACTCCCCCTTACAGCTCGAGCTCTTTGGCCCCATCGCGCTTCGACTAACGCTCTACATCTTGCCCTCGCTCATCTTTCTGACCTTCGACATCGGTGTGCCCAGCCTAGCCGTCGAATTCAAAGCGCATGGCAAATGGGGCATCGCGACGAATCAACGGGGTGGGAAGAGGAAACTGAGGAGGGTTGTACTGTGGAGTGTAGGGAATGTGATGGCGTGTGTGGTCCTGCAGGCGGCGATTGAGTGGGTGGTTACGGATGTGCTCAGGATGAAGAGTTTGTTGTTGATCAAGGGGAGTAGGTGGGGGTTGAATCATTTGCCAAATCCGTGGACGATGGTCAAGCATGCGCTGGCTGGGGTGCTGGCGCACAATGTAAGCTTTGGCGATGTGGAGTGCTGATGAGTGGATGCTGACACGTGCAGGTGCTACAGTACTATATCCACACCCACTTGCTGCACTCACCAAGTGGTGGCAGGCTGGCGGACTGGCATGCAAACTGGCACCACAGCGTTCAAGTACCGTACTCGTTTGTTGCGAATTACGACCATCCGGTATGCCATGCTGTGCACAGATGGCTGCCGCTGTACCTCCCTGCTGTCGCGCTGCGGATGCACATTCTGACCTACCTTCTCTTGATCGCTTTCTTCAGTCTTGAAGAGACATTTGTGTACTCGGGTTACAACGTCCTGCCATCGACGATCATGATCCGTGGTATGGCGCGCCGCACCGATGCACACATGCTTAGCGAGGGAGATGGCAACTACGGTAGCGTTGGCATTTTGGACTGGTGTCACGGGACCACGCTTGGAAAGGACGTTATGGAGGACTTGAAAGCGGAGATGGAGAAGCACGATGCTGAAGAGAAGACAGGAAGGGTAATCGATGGAGCGGGGGATGCGGTCAGTGGCCTCGCAGCCAGGATCAAGTCGAAGGCCCGTAAGGGTAGGAGTAGGAAGTGAGGGCAGTAAGGCTATGAAGAAAATTGATCTTCGGTTGCGGTTCGGTCTGCGGTACGGCATTGTGGGGAAGTGGGCCTTGAACTTCGCTTGCTATCTTGATACTCAGTGATACCCTTTCAAATTCTAGTTGCACGCGTGAAGTCGATGTCTGGAGGTCATCTGGCGCATATAGGTACAGCGGTCGGTCGCAATCGTGCAATGCAATGTGAGATTCTATTTCGCCATCAGTATCGAGTACCCGCCCATCGCTTGCTCCATGTAACGCCAAAGGGATGATGACATCACGGTTGCCAGAACCATCTTATCACTTTCGAACCGTTTGCATTCGTCGCTTTTATCAAGGCTTCAATGAATTACGAACGTGGACTTCGTGAAAAGAAGTGGTCGCAGTACCGCCGCGGGATTAGTTCCTGCTGTCACGGCTGCAGCACCCGAGGTCGTCTTTCATCCCATGCACTGAACGCCAAATCCCGTCTTGACCCAACGCTTAGAACTGCATCTGGTGTGGCCTGTCGGAGGTGCGAAGGCTGAAGCTCGAAGCGAGGTAGTCGATGAGATGAGCCTCCTTCTTGAGGTTAGCCAGAAGGGCCTTGTCAACGGCCTTCTGGTCCTCAACGCGATCCTTGGAAGTCTCCTTCTTCTGTTGCAATTGTTAGTGTGGTTCGCTTGTGGCGCCTCAGATGCTGCGTACCTCGGGCTTCTCGCCCTGCTTGAAGAAAGCATCCTCTCCAGGCTTGTGTGCGGCCTTGTCCTTAGTGAAGTAACCCTCCTCGGAGGCCTTGTTCAGGACACCCTCGTCGATACCCTTGATGTCGACGGTGGTGGAGGTAGCAATGACATAGCGGGCGTTGACTCGTCGCAGAGGAACGCCGTTAACCTTGAAGGGACCGGTAACGAGGAGGACACCCTGGGGAAGGTGCTTGAGGACAATGACACGCTTGCCACGGAAGCGACCAGCAAGGAGGATGACGACGGTACCGGGCTGAAGGGAAGCACGAGGCTTAGCAGGACGAGCAGTCTTACGGGCCTTGATTCAATGTTAGCGAGGGTTCATTATGTGCATCTTGCAGCATGTAGGTGGTCCGCTCTCGTCGCTCTCGCCAGTTGCAGTCGCAGAGCTGTTGCTCCTGCAATGCGCCCATGTCCTCCTCTTCCTGAGGCTTCCTGATCCTCCCATGCTGTCGTGTCTGCGAACGTACCTTCTTGGGGGCGGCGACGTCCTCAGCAGGGTAGTACTTGCTGGCCTTCTGCGAGTGGTGCGGTATCGACCTCTCGCCCTTGGAGAACTTCTGGGTCGTGGGTTTGGTGTCCGCCATTTCGAATTGCTGGTGTCGTTAGTGAGCCCTAGAGAAGATGTTCGATGGACGCTGGGTATTTCGACAGGTGCGACCGCCGTGGTGCGCTTACTAAGGAGTGCACGGCCCTTCTCGCGCCTCGCTTTAGTGTAGCGTCGTCTCGCCTATTTCGCCGCCTTGGAACACATCGATGGTTGGAGCCAACAAAACGATCGTTGTAACAGCGATCGACGGACGTCGAAACAGGTTGAGGCTTTGAGTATGGTTCTGCTCATTCACTGTTTGGCAGAGACCAAACAGTGATGCCGCATTCATAGCTCAGAACCGCTGACTGCACACGGCAGCGTACTCTTTGGGTGCGGAAGACCGCATACCCCATGTCCAGTGGCTACACGCGTCTCTGTCTGTTTTGCGGCTCTCTGGTAGCATATGACTGCAGCTGTAGCCCTGTCCAACTCCATGAAGATATAGTAGGTAAACCGAACTTCACCCGCGTAACCTCTGCGACTGAGCACAGCCCTCTGGAGACCACGATCATACCTGTCTTGTGGCAGATTGTTGTCCAACAACGCGGAAGACAAACTGTTCTTTTGACATCCCCATCTGCGTGGTAGGTAGCAGCGCAAAGCATGTCGTGGCTGGCAGACTTCAGTTGCAAGCTGTGCAGTCAGTAGTCCACGACTCGACCTACTATTATGCTTCGAGGACCTCTATGCAATATTCATTGTTCGCTGCGTTGTCTGATGCTGCAGGTACGCCTCAAGTGAATCGCGCACTGGTTCCGCAGGTGAATTTGCTCTCCATATCGGTTGGTTACCTCATCTCGGGTGATCCGTGCGCCGCCGCCGCAGCTCGTTGCCGCATACACAGGCAGCTCAACCACCAACCCCAGCTTCTGATTCTCCACCCACACATACCAACATGTCGATCCAGCCACTTATCACGTTCAAGGCTGGCAAGTGCAATATCACTGTAAGCTTCATGCATCATCTGCGCATTACACAACGCTAACAGAGGCAGTCCAGAGATGGCAACAAGCAGGCTGTCAAGCCAGTCGCCGGGCCTGGCTATGTCTACCTGTACCAGGGCGAAGATGGTTTGTATAGCCAGCTCATTGCTCCAAACATCACTTACACCGCTTAGAGTTTGTTCACTTCTGCTGGCGACCCCGCGACAAGACTCTCGAGGAGTCCGAGCTCGATCTCATCATGATCCCCGGTGATGGCTCATTCTCGCCATACACCGGCAAGGATGCCGCCGAAGACTCCGAATCAGTCAAGTCGCCCACCGATGGCCGCATATTCGTCCTCAAGTTCAACTCCAGCTCACAACGCTACCTCTTCTGGTTACAGTCGAAGTCACAGCACCCTCGTAGTGATGCAAGCTGTTTCAGCGAGCGTGACCTCAAGATCGGCCAGATTGTTGATCTTCTCTTGAATGGTGAAGATATCGACGTCCAGGCTGAGCTCGCGAGCATCCCGAGTCATCCCTCCGGCGGCGGCGACGACGACGAGACGATGGAAGATGTCGGGGAGTCCACCCGCCGTAATCGCCACGGCAGCACAGGAGGCGCTGGATCTGGGGCTACAGGTGGTGACATTCGAGACGAGGGCGAAGAGTCTCGTGAAGGTGGTGCTGACGGCGGCCGAGCGTAGGTTATCCATCTAAGCATTTATACTGGTTACATTGCAATCGGCGTCGTGGCGCATCGACATTACCGGCATGGTTCGAGCGGCTGTGGAAGACATTGGCGAGGAAAGCATTAGAGACTCAAAGGACCGATTATCACGGTGAGGCGTTCGGGAGCACAACTTGCCCACACGGCATGACAGCACTGGCTGCTCATATGTAACACTAAACAAACAGAGATCATGCTTTCCATACCAAGTCTTCCTCCCGCCACGACGATCGATTGCTGCTTTAATTTCTCATGGACCGGAACTCTCGCTAACGTTCGAGTAGAGCAGGAGGAGTGGGTGATGTTTCATCTATCGTCCAGAACTTCGTGGACTCCCTCAAGGGCGGCAGTGGGGGCAGCGGAGGCAGCGGGCAACAACAGCAAGGTGGCGGCGACTTTACAACTCTACTTGACCTCCTATGGCCGACCACGACCGGCCCTGTAATCGAGGACGCGTCCGACGAGCTCATCGATGCACTCTGCGCCCAGCTTCCCACTACACCATTCTTGCTCGAGGCTGAGGTTGAGGACATTGACCAGATTGACCCCAACGGCGATACCGCACAGATGGTGGTGCAGACACTGGGCCAGGACGAGAAGAGAGAAGTTATCAAGGGGATAGTAAGGGCACCTCAGCTTCGCGCTGCGCTTGGAAGTCTTACAGAGGCCTTGAAGTCCGGTGCACTGCCAACTGTTGCTCAGGCGCTAAACATTGCCGTTGAGCACGGTGGCTACATGAGGGGTGGCGCCATGCCGCTTGGCGGTGGTGACGCAGTTAAGGCGTTCTTAGAGGGCGTCAAGAGGACAGTGGAGAACGAGGATGAGGATGAGGATGAAAACATGGACGAGTCATGAGCAATTTCAGTACATACACAAATAAGGGGTGGTAATCATATTGCGAGCTGTCCGTGTGCACCAATAAGAGCTTCAATGCTCGAGGTGACCTTCTTCGTTTACATACTAATGCGAACATGAGTCTTCGGCCAATGAACATCGTACAAAGGTTACAATCTATGTGCGTCAAGTGTAGTGCAAATGCTTTCTCAAGTCTCTCGTTGCATGGCTGTGTCCTCCACTCTACACGCACTTACTATCTCCTTAGCGCATCCTCTCAAATGCACAAATCCCCTTCGGACATTTTCGCCAACGTTTTCCCTCCTCACTCTCTTCAAACCTTATTCATATTCATCGACGCCTCGCATGCGCCCCGCCCAAGCACACCCGACACCACTCCAGAACCTCAATGTCCTCGACCTTGTCCAACGGATGCCCCAACCGATAGTTCTCCATCCACCGCGCCCTGAGCGCCTCCCACTCACCCTTTCTATAGCATTCAATGCACGGATACTTGCTCGTCATGAGGTATCGCGGAATGAAGTAGCTACAGAATGTAGGCTCGACTTCCTGCTCCCTCGCTACGCTGGAAGGAGATGGCGATGGTGATGGTAATCTGCTGGGTGGTGCGGAGCTGGCGAAGGATGGTGAGAGAGGTGAGACGGGGGATGTGGGGGACGGTGTCGAGGGCGGGATGAAGCGGAATGCTGGGACATGTGTGGGCGACAATGTAGCGGAGGGGATATTGGTGACGCGCAGAGGCGACCGGCTGCTCAGATGAGGGCGCGAGAAGTTCCTTGAAGGCAAGCGTGAGTCTGGGTTGATGGAGGATACCGTTGAGTTCAAGCGAATGACTGTGGCCGTGGATGGAGTCAGGCTGGCGGTAGCCTGAGTGGACTCGAGTGCGTGGAGGCAGGGCGTTGTGCAGATGCTCTTTGAGTGCCCGCAGGCGTAGGTCTGGAGGAGCTTGTTACACATAATAAGTCTCTTGTGGCGGATCTATGGGAAGTTGAGTGTAGAAGAGCTAGGTGGACTGGCAGTCACAACCTTGACTAAGTGCGGCGGAAGTGAAGGCAAAAGTGACAACGAAGACCTGCTAGGATACTGCACAGTTGGCAGACACATGGTTCGAACAGTCCCACGAAGCAGTTGCCAACATGTTAATCGTAGCTCTTCCATAATCTTCTGTCAACATCTTCACAGGAGTCTTGTCGAGACTGTATATCATTTTTGATATCTTGTCGGACATGCATAAAACATTCATCATCGTGGCAACGGTGTTTCAACTCCATACCGCGCAAACACCACATCAAACACCTGGCCACCAAATGCTCAATGCTAACAGCAAACACTCAATCTCCAACCTTCTCTAGTAACTCCTTCCGAACAAGACCCAGGCCTTAGCAGGGGTTGTGCAGTCAGGGTTGATGCACTTGGTCTTGCCGGGCTCGATGCCCTCAGGCTGATCGAAGGGAATGCACAAGCTCTTAGCGCCCATGGCAGGGGCCTGCTTATCTTCCGCAACACCATCGCCAAGCGCTGTCTTCGCGCTCTTGGCCTTGACCTCGTCTTCGCACTTCTCACCTTCGCAGTGGGGAACTAGAACAACGTTCTTGCCGTTAAGTGTGGGGACGAACTCGTCCCAGTTGGTGAGCTGAATGCGGTGGTCGCGGTAGGCCTTGTCAGCCTTCGCGAACATGTCGGCTTGGATCTTCTCAAGCAGTTGAGGAACCTCCTTGGCAACGTCATCAACGTTGATGGTGCCACGTGCATCGTCCTTGTTGTCGATATCACGGCGGGAAGTTGTGACAATGCCCTTCTCAGCGTCCTTGGGACCGAACTCAATACGCAGAGGAATACCCTTGAGCTCCCAGTCGTTGAACTTCCAGCCAGGGGAGTAGCCCTCACGGTAGTCGGACTCAACGCGGACTCCAGCCTCGATCAGGCTGTCGTGGATGCTCTTGACCTTACTGTACAGCTCCTCCTTAGCTTCAGCAGACATCTTAGCGGTGACACCAACGGGAATCAGAACAACCTGAATCTCAGCAACGCGGGGAGGAATGACCATACCACGGTTGTCGCCGTGGGTCAGGATCATGACACCGATGGATCGAGTAGTAAGGCCCCAGGAGTTTTGCCAGACGTGGACGTGCTCTGCCTTGCCTCCCTCCTTGGGGTTGGGGTCCTCAACAGTGATGTTGAACATCTTGGAGAAATGCTGTCCGAGGCAGTGAGATGTGGCGGCCTGGATACCACGGCCAGTGGCAGGGATGAAACCTTCGATGGTTGTTGTGTAGTCAGCACCGGGGAACTTCTCGTTGACGGTCTTCGTGCCCTTGACGACAGGGACGGCGAGCAAGTCCTGGTAGACCTGAGAGTACCATTCAAGGATTTGCATGACTTCGGCTCCGGCCTCCTCCTTGGTCAAATGAGCTGTATGGCCTTCTTGCCACAAGAACTCACGCGAACGAATGAAAGGCATAGGGTCTGCAGTGCGTCAGTGTGAGGCCAACTGAGACAAGGCTCGGGCACGTACGCTTGAACTCCCACCGAACAACATTGTTCCACTGGTTCAGCTTCAAAGGAAGATCGCGATGCGACTGGATCTTGCGTGCGAAGTAGGGGTACATGGCAGTCTCGGAGGTAGGGCGAACGGCAACGGGCTTCTCGAGATCGGACTTTCCACCCTTTGTGACCCAGGCGACTTCTGCGGCGAAGCCTTCAATGTGCTCCTTCTCCCTCTCAAGGTTGTCTTGGCTGATGAAGATGGGGAAGTATGCGTTACGGACCTTCAAGGTCTTGATCTGGCTGTCGAACCAGGCCTTGATGGACTCCCAGATGGCGTAGGATGCGGGCTCGAGGATGTAGCTGATCTCGAAATTAGTAAAGTACTCGATGTTGAGGTCAGCTTTATGTTTACCATCCGGCAACCTAGACGCGTTAGCATGGAGTGACAGTGTTTGGGAGCTTTAACGGCTCACATCGTAGTAAGAGATCATCTGTCCCTTGGTGATTACCTGCTGGTACCACTCGCCGAGGTCGTCTTCCTTTGCGACATCGATGCCAATGAGCGCGGCGCCCTCAATCTGCCATGGCGTAAACATTCCGGCTCAACCCTGTTGCTACCACACGTATCTGACCTTCTTCTTCTGCTGCTGGGGCTTCTTGGCAGCGGCCTTGGGAGCACCGTCCTTCTTGCTCTTCTTGGTCTCAGAGATCTTAAGATCCTTCATCTTGCCGTCGGCGGCGGTGGCTTCGGCCATTGCAGAGATGTTTGATGTGGTATGAGAGGAAAAAGTCTGAGATGAGAAACGCGTCAGCGCAAGGAAAAAGAACGCGCCAGGTGTTGCGAATTCAGAATCGTATTCAAGTGTGGGTACAACAGTAGCTGAACACCAAAAGCTATCCCTTTGGGAAACAGAACCAGATATCGGAATGTTTGGCGGGGTATGGCGGGGTACAGTCAGAAGGGCATGTTTACCTGCAGTTGTGGAGTCAGACACGGGGGGCAGGAAACAGCAGATACGAAGAACAGCAAGGGCGCAGCGCGTACCTAAAAAGCAGTTTGTCAGGCTGTCAACACAATCACAGAAGTCTCGCGTGGTGTTGTGTCCGAATGTGGAGGGCGGGCGACTCATTCGCGGCACCCCTGTCCGCTAACGTCGGAGGCCCGGCACCAAACGCCGACATGCAGGAGCATCCCGCCCTAAAGATTTCGGACACACGCGTTAACGGAGCCTAAACACAGCATAAACAGCTACACCACAACAACATGGCCGGAATCTTCGAGCAGTCACGTAGCGGAGGAACTCTGTGTAGGCTTGGGAGCACTTCGAAGAGCAGAATCTGAGCTGACATGTGCAGTCCTCGGTGGAAACAAAATCAGCGGCCAAGACATTCGCGACCAGAATGTCCTTGCTACACAGGCTATTGCCAATGTCGTCAAGTCGTCGTTTGGACCTTCAGGTCTCGATAAGATGATGGTAGACGACATCGGCGACGTCACAGTCACGAATGACGGCGCCACGATCCTCAGTTTGCTCGACATCGAACACCCCGCGGGGAAGATCCTCGTCGACCTCGCCCAACAGCAGGATAAGGAAGTCGGTGATGGCACAACGTCGGTCGTCATAATCGCTGCTGAGCTGCTGACGAGGGCGAACGAGCTTATGAAGAACAAGATCCACCCCACTACCATCATCACAGGCTACAGGCTGGCGCTGAGGGAGGCGGTCAAGTACATGAACGAGAACATCAGTACAAAGGTGGATACCCTCGGTCGCGACTCTCTTGTAAACATTGCAAAGACATCCATGTCTTCGAAGATTATCGGTTCAGACTCGGACTTCTTCGCCAACATGGTTGTGGATGCTATGACCTCCGTCAAGACCACCAACAACAAGAACGAGACCAAGTACCCCGTCAAGGCTGTCAATATCCTGAAGGCACACGGCCAGAGCGCTACCCAGTCCGTACTCGTCAAGGGCTACGCTCTCAACTGCACAGTCGCCTCACAAGCTATGAAGACCCGCATTACCGACGCTAAGATTGCCTGTTTGGACATCAACCTCCAGAAGGAGCGCATGAAGTTGGGCGTACACATCACGATCGACGACCCAGAACAGCTCGAGAAGATCCGCCAGCGTGAAGCCGGCATTGTCGAGGAGCGCATCGAGATGATCCTGAAGGCCGGCGCAAACGTTATCCTCACAACCAAGGGTATTGACGACCTTTGTCTGAAGCACTTCATTGAGAAGGGCGCGATGGCAGTACGAAGGTGCAAGAAGGAGGATCTGCGCAGGATAGCAAAGGCTACTGGAGCGACATTGGTCAGCACACTCTCAGATTTGAACGGTGATGAGAAGTTCGAGGCGGCAAACTTGGGTTACGCAGAGGAGGTAGCCCAAGAGCGCATCTCTGACGATGAGTGCATCCTGGTCAAGGGCACCAAGGCCTTCTCTTCCGCGTCGATCATTCTGCGAGGAGCCAATGACTACGCGCTCGACGAGATGGAGCGGTCAGTACACGACTCGCTGTGCGCCGTTAAGCGAACTCTCGAGAGCGGACGTATTGTGCCCGGCGGAGGTGCCGCTGAGACAGCTCTGCACATCTATCTGGAAGAGTGGGCAACATCGGTCGTAAGTACATTTACATTTTATTCACCGAGGTGTAAACTGACGTGTCGCACAGGGCTCCCGTGAGCAGTTGGCTATCGCAGCCTTCGCCCAGGCTCTCCTCGCTATCCCCAAGACTCTCGCTATCAACGCAGCAAAGGACGCAACCGAGCTCGTCGCCAACCTGCGATCGAGACACGCGCTCTCGCAGCGAACCGTCAACCCCACAGACCCCTCTTCGCAGGACGCGAAACAGCTTGCCAAGTCGAAGAACTACAAGAACTACGGGCTGGACCTCGCAAACGGCAAGGTACACGATTGCGTGAAGGCCGGTGTTCTTGAGCCCAGCATGAGCAAGGTCAAGCAGTTGAAGTCCGCTGTCGAGGCGTGCGTGGCGATCATGCGTATCGACACACTGATCAAGCTTGATCCTGAGGAGCAGGGTGGAGATGACGGGCATGGTCACTAGAGGGTTGATCGAACGTGAAATAGAAAAGAGAAGGAGTTGACGACAGGCCGTAATGAAAAGACACAGGTCATGATTCATGGACACCACAGTGGAGTTCTATACCCATTTGACCAATAGAACCATTCTGCCCGAATTCTATGATACTGCTGACAAGTACACAGTGCTGACGTGAGTTCACAGATGGAGAAGCAGAAGGCACGCTGTCTGGACCGCAACTTTTCCAACGGCGCTACAGCCAAGCAGACTCGACGTATCAATGTCCCTCTGCCACGCATATAAGCCGACCAAGGATGGCCGAACTCCAGAAAAACCACCTAGAAGTCGTACGCCCCTCTCAGACCCACCTCCGGATTGAAGAAGTTGTAGTCCCTACGTCGTGGAATACTGGTTGGAGCATGGTGTCTACAGGAGGAGTATCCGCATGGGGAGTGCGACCGGACAGCAAATCCTCGTCCTCAGCTTTCCGCGACTGCTAGATCGAAAACAGAGAAAAAGAGACTTGAAAATTTGGGTCGAGGATTTAGGGGATGTGGGAGTCCATGCTATGACCTACTCTCAATCATCACTACTGAGGGCACTTGATGCAGTAGCGACAGATCACTCCTTCAGCTGGGTGAACGAATCGATGTGGCTGGAGAGAGGAGGAACGTGAGATCGAAGCCAACGCATACATTCTAGTTCTACATCAGCAAATAGAAAAAAACAAAATAAAGCCTCTAATAGAACACATTCCATTCGTTGTATCTCAAATGTCACATTTCGTCGACTCATGGTTGGCGATGCATTGCCCCGTTTCTGCCCCGAAGCTAATATAGACATACCATAAGATCGCCCGCATGATCTGGCGCAAAGTAACCCGAAATCTATTTATCGACGATGCGGAACAATAATTCAAACCTTTTCTGCTGTGCCTGCTCTGCTACTTGATCGAAGTGAGCAACGGCCTAAATATCGATCCTAAGCGTCTCATTGGCCTTTCCGCAGCCAGAGAGCTCGTTTGTGCATGTCGCAATCTATCCTTCTAGGTTTGCTCGATGTCGTGGGTATGTTAGTATTCGGTTTGGTACCGATCGAGTAAATTGTGCTAGTTGCCATTATTACAAGCGGTGTTAATATCTTCGCGGGTGATCAGTACCGCGCTTAGATGTTCCGCTTTGAATCAATTTCCTCGTTCGGAAACGGGCCCTGGAAGCAGTCAGCTCACCCGTCGAGCGAGCGGTAGTCGAGAGTGTCGAGAAATAGGAACCGTCATTTTGAGGTCGTGGGGGCTTTGAAGCACGATCTAGAAGGCAGTCGGCATATCCATCCTCAAATCCGAGGTGACAATCTGCAGATTCATCTCACACAAGCGTGAACATGGGGGCTAGAATGACGCGTTACCCTGGAGGCATTCAGGTCATAATAATAGTACGATTCATTCGCTTCATGCAGCTTTTTGCTGGTGGGGGTATCTTAACAACTGGACTCCAAGTATGCCCGAACGCCAAAACCAAAATCGAAACCAAAAGAAACCAGACAAACAAGAGCGACCAAACAACCAAAGAAGACAAACAACCGGAGAAAAATCTGAACGAAACCAGAAGCCCGTAAATGTCTCCGCGCTTCAGTACTCCATCTCAATAGCATAACCAGTAATAATCGTCATTGCCAGTCTCTCCCTGGCCTCGTGCATGCCGTTGCATGCCACCACCTTCTTGAACTCGACGCCCAACAGTGACACCAGAGCGTTGAGGAGCACAAACACACCGCAATCGCTACCGTTCAACTGCCTGGCGCTGCGCTGCAGCTCGACGACTGTCCATTCCTCCTCTTTGTAAGCATCCTTAAGCTCGTGCTGGAGATAATCGCGCAGTTTTCGAATGTATTCGGATCCATCCCAGCCCAGGGAGTCCAGGTACTCGATGGTGCGCTTCTGTGGGTTGACAGCGAGGAGTCGCCAATGGGAACCGTCGCAGATAGGAAACAGGACGACCTTAGCGTCCATGAACTGCCTACCTCCCAGGCCAACTCTACTGGCCCAGCGCTCCACCTTCTTGACGCCGCCCTTGATCGAATTGAACCAGTGCGAGGAGAAGGCGTGATAGGGGGGAGCCGGACCACCCCGCTTGTAGACGAAACCGCAATCATCATTGGACGTCTTGACGAGGATTGCGAGGTACTGATTGACAATCTCGTCATTGAGCCAAGCTTTGGCGCTGCCATTGAACATGTCGGGCAGCAAAGTACCGAAGTCGCGAGCGGTAATCTTGTCCGGAACGATAGAGTAACATCCGTCCTGTCCATGCTTCGACATAGCGGCCAACTCCTCGAGCTGGGTACGTTCCGAGTCCGACAACGGGGCCAACAATGGCTTCGGCGGGGAAGGAGGACGTGGCTCCTCATTGAGGAGTTTCTTGAAATTCTGTTCGAGATCTTGGAGCAGCTCTTTTGAGAGTTCTGTTTCCTCGAGGGAGTCAAACAGAGATGAGTCTTGCAAGGACGGCCCGTCGACGGACTCATCCGAGTCAGAGGTGGTCTTGGGATCAATCAAAGGTACGTTTTGGATGTCGTCAGACGAGTCGCCATCGTCATTGTCGCCGCAGAAGTTGGGTTTTGAGATAGGTGAGCGAATGGACTCGAGAGTGGAGTCAAGCATTTCGCTGATACGCTCGTCGACGTAGTAGGCTTTGACGCGACCTTGTGAAGCCCATCGGGTGCTCTTGTGGCGCGATGATGAAGGTGAAGGGCTGCGCAGAGATTCGGATGTGCTGCTCAAGTTGTCGGCGTCAGGAAGGATTGAGAGGTCGTTGTCTAAGACGTCGGCAGGGTCGAGATATCCGAGAGGGCGGTCTGTGGTCCGTGCGTCGGCGTCTTGGTTTCGCCGAGCTTCGAGCGGTGATGTAGGTGATGTAGTCCTGACTGCCTCCACTTTCCGCAACTGCTTCTTAAGCAGCTGGCTGCGCATGGGTGTAACGGGAGAGCGTCGGAGAATGTTGAATTGTGTAGCAGGCGAGACGACCCTGGAGGTCTTCAAGGGAAGAATCTGTCGACATTGAGGTGGGGGACTGCCGGTGTCGATATCGTCTATCGACCAGTCTGGGCTGTCGTTACCCCGCAGATCTTTAGGGTACTGAGGTGATGGTGGGGTCTCGATCCAGAGACCAGTATGCTGACTGCCTCCACGGCTCGGCGTGGTAGGCGCAAAACCCGCGTCGATAAGGCGTCGCTTGGATGAGCCATCATCTCTGATGACGGGGAGGGCGATGATCTGCTGTGGACACGCGAAGTACTTCCTCAACCGTTCTGGGATGTTGGAGACCTCCAAGCGGAAAGATGTCGCGAAGCGCGAAATGGTCGTGAAGATCGAGACGCCTGGGGCTGGAGCGATCTCATATGTGTCGGCGACTACCTCCTCGGGCCATTGGCCAGGGATGTATCGTACTGGAGAAGCCTGCCTTGGTGTGAGCTTTGTGTGAGACAAAGCGCAATCATAAATGACAAACCTGAGGCTCTGCAGTGAGGTGCAGACCGGCAGGAGTGTCGAAGGCGCGAACAAAGTCGCGTTTGTTTGAAGCCATCGCAATTGCGAGTGACTTTACACGTGTTAGATGTGATTTGGCAGCAGTTGCGACTGTTGTGTCGTGGTGTTTTTGGCAGTTGCAGTTGCGGTGCTGGATGTCGCGACGCGTCTAAGTGGAGAAGGAAAAGAGCGGGAGGCGTCAATTTATTGGGAAGCGCCCGCGCCAGTGACCGATAAGGATTAGCGATATACCCTCCCCCCCTCCCAGCGCACTGAGCTCGCCATGTAGTGATGCTGTGCAAGAGGTAGAAAACCTAGGAATCATCATTCTCGTAAGGTTCAGTGAATTGCAGGGGCTGCTGCGCATGCTTGCATCTTTGCGTCGGGTAGCGCAACGATCTGGCAGAACGAGTGGCTCGAGCGCCTTAGCCCGAGGCGATCTCCAGCCGACAGCCTTGCAGCGCAGAGAAGAAGAGGCGGCAATTTAGCCTCAGCGGTCAGCCTTGCGTCCAAGGCTGACGCTTGTGAAAGTGTGGGATCCTTCGCCCGGGAGTGTCGGTGCCTTGCCTCATGGGCGGGGCGTGGCACCGACATGCACTGACTGACCTATCAGCGCATCTAGTACCCCTGCAAGACCGCGAGCTCTCGACTTTGATGAACTCGACTGTATCATGTGACTGAGCGCCGGCTGAAAGGTAACGTGACTGCGGCCGTGCCGTGTGGTACGCACGTCAATTCACGCCCCATTCTTCTGCTGAACCCAGCTACTGCTTGTGAAAGCTGCCAAATACCGCCGATCGTCTTCTGGACTCGCTGTTCGCGCCCGCAAAGCTCACTGTCTCTGCGAATCTGCCTGCCCGCCGTTGGCACGTCATCTGCCAAGTTTGAAAGGGCAAGAGCCCCTCGACAGCGCGACCTCCACAACAAACGACCCCCACCTACCATCACCACACCCGCCGCGCCGCAAACATGGACACGAATATGGAGGATGTCAAGATGCCTGAGCCCATGCAGCTCTCGTCAGCTCCGGCATCCGAGCCCACCACAATCCCCACGTTGGATGGCTGGATCGAGAGCCTGATGCAGTGCAAGCAATTGGCGGAGAGTGATGTACAGAGGCTGTGCGACAAGGTATGCGACGATGCGCCGCAGCGGCGGACGGGAACAAGCTGTATACTGACTATTCGGCGTGCTAGGCCCGTGAAGTTCTTCAGGAAGAGTCAAACGTACAACCAGTGGTATGTGCTGCGCCCCTAATCTCGCCATGCAGCGGCTCATATATACGCAGAAATGTCCCGTCACAGTTTGTGGTGATATTCACGGACAGTTCCACGACTTGATGGAACTGTTCAAGATTGGCGGTCCCAACCCCGACACGAACTACCTCTTCATGGGTGCGTTCACCGCCTTCATCGCTGTGCCGTGTGCTGACCGCATTCAGGTGACTACGTGGACCGAGGATACTTCTCTGTCGAGACTGTGACCCTTCTTGTTGCATTAAAGATTCGATACCCCCAGCGCATTACCATCCTCCGTGGAAACCACGAGTCGAGACAGATCACCCAGGTGTACGGCTTCTACGACGAGTGCCTCCGCAAGTACGGCAACGCCAATGTCTGGAAATACTTCACAGACCTCTTCGACTACCTGCCTCTCACCGCCTTGATCGACAACCAGATCTTCTGTCTCCACGGTGGTCTCTCGCCTAGCATTGACACCCTCGATAACATCAGGGCGCTTGACCGCATTCAAGAAGTACCACACGAGGGTCCCATGTGCGATCTTCTTTGGTCAGACCCTGATGACAGATGTGGTTGGGGAATATCTCCTCGTGGTGCCGGTTACACATTCGGACAGGACATCTCAGAAGCTTTCAACCACAACAACGGCCTGACGCTGGTGGCACGCGCTCATCAGCTTGTTATGGAGGGTTACAACTGGTCGCAAGACAGAAACGTCGTGACAATCTTCTCAGGTAATACGCTCCTCCGTCCTATTTGACCTCTTCGCTGACCAGTGCAGCACCAAACTACTGCTATAGGTGCGGTAACCAGGCTGCCATAATGGAGATTGATGAGCATCTCAAGTACACTTTGTATGTTGCTGACTGCTTGACCCACATTCACTCAACTGACTTGATTTTAGCCTGCAGTTCGACCCCTGCCCGCGCGCTGGCGAACCGATGGTCTCGCGCAGGACTCCGGACTACTTCTTGTAGAAAAGGCCGACAGCCTTCAAAGGAGGGCATGATAGGGCGAGGGAGCCGCATAATACCAACCAAATATTACCACACATGGCAAGGCGCTGGCATGTCTACTTTGCACGTCTGGTGAAAGTGCACCAGGATGCCGAGAGCATAACCGGACTGGTGAACCTACAAACCTGGGATTGCTGGCCAATGACGATGATTGCTATTGCTATGCAGGCTCTTGCGTAGACTTGTAGGCCACATGCTAGTAGCTATATGCGCATATACGATGAGTGATGACTTCGGTGTTTGAGTGTTCCTCGTTCAGTGCTCTGCGCTTGCTTGTCCGTGTTCAATCATACAAAGCTGCTCATCCATCCCAATCTTCTCCATGCTATTTGACTGCGGACCCAACTCAGAACATGCCTTAGCGGCTTCTATTGCACTTCTGATCTAGTGATGGTCCATCGACGGCTCTTTGCTCAATGACTCATCTCTGAACAGTTCCCTTCGAGGAAACCCAGCTCTCCAAAGAGCTCATCTAAGATCCTGAGCTCGCGTGAAGAGTTGTAAACCGTGAGGTGATGTCGTTTGTTATTCGTGTCATGACGTGCACTCTCTTGCCAGCACGATGCATCTCGATTTCAGGTCCCTTGCTGCTTGGTGAGCAGCCCGCGTTGCTCAATCCCCGTCCTTCCCCTTCTCCGCTTTCCTCCCAATGTACAGGGCCGCCAGCACCGCGGTCACTGCACACGCCCCAGCCAACACGGCGTTCATGTTGCCATATCCGATCTTCTCCCGCAGCGCCCCGGCAACAAGCGGTCCCACAGCCAAGCCACCGCTAAAGACCATGCTGTTGATCCCGTACAATTGCGCCCACGGTGCTCCTTCGCTGAAGGTTTGCTCGTTCGCTTTGGAGTAGTTCTCCACCAGCCGCGCGGCCTCGACGATGCTCGGGCTTCCTATCATCGCGAGTCCGGCGCCGTTGAGCGCGAGGATAGACGCGTAGAGCGCAATCCGACGGCCGTCATCCAGACCCTCCACAATCGACGTCTCGTGCGGTAGACGGAGCAGCACGAGCGTCGGAACCAGCCAGGCAAAGCCCAGCACCGAGAACAGCCGTGCCCCGTACCGATCGACGGCCCATCCGAAGGCGGGCCCGAGGAAGAAGTCTGCGCCGCTCAGAGGGAGGAAGAGAAGCCCTGCTTTCAGGCTGTTGAACCCGAAGGCTGACTCTGCGACGAGGGGCACGGTAGCGTCGAAGGAGCCGAGGAGCGCGGCTTGCATGAAGCCAATCAGGATTGCGGTGAGCAGGCCCGGGTCACGTAAGAGCAGCAGGATGGGGAGGGTGCGTGTGATGCGGTTCCTGGGTGGTGTGAGGCGGTAGCGAGCATCGGTGTCTGGTGAGTCCGAGTTTGGCAGGAGAGGAGTCTGCTCGCTGTCGTCTGCTCCAGAAGCGACATTGCTTTCCTCTGTCTCGATGGAGTCGGGCAGGTACTCATCTCTGACCTTCTTCTCGATCATCAGGATCCGCAGAACGAAGTCGATGGCCACGAGCCCGATTCCCACGCCGAAGACACCAGTGTAGCCCGTCTTCGCGTACAGAAGGCCTCCGCAGATGGGCGAGAAGAGGCCAGCCACGGAAATGAAACTGAAGATTGTGCCCATCGTCTTCCCGAGATTCTCCTGTCCGACCGTCTCCACGATGATGGCCAGTCCGAGCGTCCAGACAACACCTGCACCGATCAGCACGCACGCAATCAATGTGTGAAGGGATGAGATCTACCAGCGCTCGCACCCTGCAACACCCGCGCAACGACCAACACGCCAACACTCCTCCCCAGCGCGAAGATGACCGTCGCAACGACCAGCATGACCAAGCTAACCGTGAACGGCACCTGTCTGCTCCTCGCGAACTTGTCCGCCAGCACGCCTGCAATCGGACTCGTCAGGCACGACGCCGCAGCGTAGACGGCGAGCAGCATTGAAATGGTGCCCTGGACCTGGGAGTCGGGCAGAGCCACGCGCTCTTTGAGCAGGAAGGGCAGCACAGGCACGATCAGCCCGTACAGGAAGAGGTCGGTGAAGGCGCCCATTCCGACCGCGGTGGTCACGAAGAGGCTGTGGGAGCGCCATCTGAGTCCGAGAGGCGGTTCGTTGGTGTGGAGCATTGCAAAGAGGAGAGGGCTTGATGGCGTGAATGGAGCGTGGATGCTTGGTCTCCGTATCTATCTCTTTCTCTGTTCTTTCGGCTGTGTTGAACGCGCACTCACGACGGGTACCTTGTTTCCAGATGAATCAAGAGACGGATCCAGGACACTGGCGTTGAAGACGCATTCATACAACTACGGAGCATGCGGCGCTCGAGCGATACGGTGACGTCAACGTGAGCTTGTCCATGTTAGCTCATTTTCCGCGCTCAGAGCCGCAATGGCAAGAGCCGCAATGTCGAGCGAGCGACTCGGTGTCGGCATGGCGGGAACAGAATAGATCAAGCGGCATCTGCAACGCATGCTGAACTCGAGCGTCGGATGCGACGACATGGTCATCACGCTGACCATGGCAAAGTACATCTAGGCAGATTGCACTGCCAGAGCTTGACATTGGCTCGATGCAATGTGCAGGTCCAGGAGGTTGAAACACCCAATCGACATAAAATGGCGGGTTCAAAGATGCAAGACGGAGATGGTGTAGATGGGGCTGGGGATGGCATGCACACACGTGACGAGCGACTAGCGCGGTTCTCCGCGAACTGATCGGACTTGTCGAAGCTCAGTCCTCCGACCTTTACTTTGGCGCCTCTCCACCAACAACACTTCCAGCACCCGTCGCCCAATATGGCAGACAGAATGGAAGGCGTAGTGACAAGCGGTGGCGTGCCGCACATTGACGTGTCGAAATACCCCGTGCCCGTGGAAACGTAAGTCACAAGCCGCAAGGTAGGTCCCGTCCGCCGCTAATCGCGCAGAATCTACGTAAGTAGCCTCGCACTGAGAAGGATGCGCACGCATTGCACGCCGCGGCGCCTAACGCGCACAGGTCAACAACCTCGAGGAGCGCGTCGGCATCGAGACGATGAAGGACGCCCTCACGCGCGTGTTCCAGTACTACGGGCCGATCCTCGACATCATCGCCAAGAGCTCGTTGAAGCGCAAGGGCCAGGCGTTTGTCGTCTTCGACAGCGAGAAGAGCGCGCTCGAGGCTGTCGAGGAAATGAACGGATTCGAGCTGTACGGCAAGCCGGTCAAGGTCGCGCGCGCGAAGACGCACTCGGACGAGACGGTGAAGCGGAAGGCGGGCGACATGTTCGAGGAGCACAAGCGGAAGCGGTTGATGCTGAAGGGTGTGTTTGCCATGTCCCAGGACTCGCGAAGAGGCGTGTGGGTTGGATTGCGCAGGGCTAACGCAGTCAGACTTCAAGCGCGCAGAGGAAGACGCCAAAGCCGCGGCGCTGCCGGCGACGACGGAAGCGGCCAAGCCGCGGCCTGCCAAGTCCGGCGCCGCTGTGGTGCCGGACGAGTACGTGCGGCCCAACAAGACGCTGTTCCTGCAGAACATCCCGCGCGACGTGGACGAGGAGGCGCTGTCGGACATGTTCGAGCGGTTCGAGGGATTCAAGGAGGTGCGTCTCGTGTCGGTGCGCGCGGTGGCGTTTGCCGAGTTCGAGAACGAGCAGTTTGCCATTACGGCCAAGGAGGCGACGAGCGGGACGCTGGTGGGCAAGGAGGGCGTGCCGATGAAGGTCACGTATCAACGGCAGTAGGTCAAGTTACAGGTGCATGCCAAGGCGTTGCGGTGTTTGGTACCTGGGTCAAGTTGCACGTTATGCAGAGGCGTTGTGATGTTGATGATAGTGGGTCAAACCATGGGTGCTTGCCAAGGCGTTGTGATGTCTGTGACATCTGCAAAACGGTCGCGTTGTGACGTCTGTGATCTCTGCAAAAAGGTCGCGTTGTGACGTCTGTGATCTCTGCAAAACGGTCGCGTTGTGACGTCTGTGATCTCTGCAAAAAGGTCGCGTTGTGACGTCTGTGACATGTGCAAAACGGTCGCTGTTGTCACGTCTGTGATATCTGCAAAA